GTTGAGCAGGATGTAGTTGAGCGGCGTGCGCAGCTTCTTGTGCTGCACCGTGACGTAGAGCGTGAGGAAGTTGATGGGGAAGCCCAGCACGATGAGCAGGAACATGTAGGCGGCCAGCATGGAGAACTGCCAGGGCTCGGCCAGGTAGTACTGCGGGTACTCGAAGGGGCTGCGCACCACGCCCGTGCGGTTGGAGAAGGGCACGTAGAAGTTCTCGCCCTCCGTCCCGTTCATGGCTGCGGCCCGGTGCTGGCCTCGCCGGCTGCGCCCTCCCCAGCTCGGTCTTGAGGGCTCTGACTGTCGCCCCCCGCCCCCCACCCGGCCCTTATGAAGGGCCCGGCCCGCCCCAGCACCCCGCTGAGTCAGCAGGCCGGAGATTGGGGTTATTGATCATACTAAGCCCCGCCACGGCCACCGGGGCTAATTGGCTTCTGAGGGGGGCCAAGGTGACTCCTGCTGGAAATAGGGCCGGGGACCCCGGGAAAGGGAGGAGGGAGGTGCTCAGGGCTTCTCTCCCCCAGAAACCTGCCCGTCTCAGCCCGGGCCCCTCTCCCGCTGGGGCCCTGACTTCTGGAGGGGCTGGCTCTCTCTTGCCCTCTCTCCCAGAAACTTTCCTCACAGACGCCCCTGCGGGCCTTCCCGTCTCCACAAACTGAGCTTGGGCAGGCAGGGACGGTTCTGCGAGTCTCAGACGCCCCAACCCACCACGGAGCCCCCGCAACCACCCCACAGTCACTCATTGCTTCAGTCAACTCTGCGAGGGCCTTGGGGGACACACAGCCTGGAGGAAGCCCAGGTAGGGCAGCCGTGAGACTGAAGGTGGGGCTTGGGGATGGGCAGTGGACCAGGACAAGCCCCACCTGTAGGAAGTGTCTGGAGAGGAAGAGAGGACCCCGGCCAACAATGAAACAAAGAGGAAGGGCTCGGAGCTGGCCCTTGAGTGGACGGAGGCCCCTGAACCCAATGATGGAAAGAGCTGGTCGTGTCACTGTCTGATGGGCCATGTCCAGGCAGCCACCTCAGCATGTGCCAAAGCCCTGGGGCAGACGCCGTGGCTGAGACTGCCTATCTGAATTTCTCCAGCTGTCTGCTCAGGGAGGGGTCTCCTTCCTCCGCCCACCTGCCTCCTGACCGCTGTGTCTGCAGGTAAAACGCATGAGCACAAGGGCTGGTAGGGGCCAGCAAGCGAAGGCTATCAACACGGTCAAGGTGCTGGGCTCAGCGATCAGGCCCAACTGGTGTTAAAAATGTCCAGTGGAGCGTTGGTTCCACATAGATCCTGGCCACCAGGAGAGAAGATTGGATCCCCCCAGATCTGGTGCCCAGCTTCTTAAACGAGGAGTTGTGGGTTGCAAAAAGAAGTGTGCGTGTGTGTGTGTGTATGTGTGTGTGTGTGTGTGGGGGGGCAATGGTAAAATGGTTCCAAAAGCACAATGACCAAAAATGAATTCAAATTTTTGAATTTGAATTCATCCTGAATTCTAGATGTTTCTGGAAGCTAGGGCCCACCCGGCGTTGCTAGTAAAAGGGGGTTATGAGCAGATGTTTAAGCAAGCACTGATCCAAGCCCTTGACCCCTGACCTCAACACCCTGCCTGTCACTTCCCCGTGCTGACGGGGGCTGGAATGTTCTTCGTCCCCGCTGCGTCCCTGCATCCTGTCCTTCTCCCAGGTTGCAGTGTGAGAGAGAATTCTGTCTGTCCTGTCCCTGGTGCTGTTCCTGCTTGTCCCCGAGAGGGTGGGTCGTGGTCCCACTTCTGCCAGACTGGGGTCATCCCGGCCTTCTGGGTCATGAGGTTGGGGTGCCTGAACTCTACTCCCAGAGGTAGGACCAAGAATTTTTTTTGGGGGGGGGTAAAGTGATAGTGTAGGAGGAAAGGCACTTGCCTTGCTCATGGCTGACTCGGTTCAATCCCTGGCATCCATATGGCCCCCTGAGCACTGACAGGAGTGATCCCTGTGCACAGGGCCGGGAGTCATCCCTGAGCACTTCCAGGTACAGTTCAAGTACAAAACACCAAAAAAAGAAAAATAATGTGTGGTGATGGGGGAGGACATGCCCAGTGACACTCATGGATCACCCCTGGCTCTGTACTCAGGGGTCACTCCTGGGTCGGTACTTAGGGGCCACTCCTGGCTCGCTCGTACTTAGGGGTCACTCCTGACTCTTGGCTCAGGGCTCACTCCTGGCACTGTGCTCAGGAATCACTTCTGGCTCTGTGCTCAAGGATCACTCCTGACTCAGTGCTCGGGGGCCACTCCTGACAGTGCTGGGGGACCATATGTGGAGTTGTGGACCCTATGGGACCAGAGTAACCCAGCCTAGGACTCTTTAGGCTCATGGCGGCAACCGTGAGGAGACCCAGCAGACACACAGCCAGGCAGCCCGGGGAGGGCTCGGGAGTGTGGGGTGGCTTCCTGAGCTTTGCCCCTCGGTCAGGCTGGGGCTGGCTGTGAGGAGCGGTGGGGAGCGGGGCTCTGTCGCTATGCTCACGGGGTCTGGGTAGCGCAGGGCTCCAACTCTGCTGGCCGAGGGAGATTAGGGTTTAGCGGGGCCGCACACGGCTCGCTGCAGCTAAGCCCGGATGCCGTGCTGCTGGGTCAGCACTCTCCCCCACCCGCCTGGCTGGTCAGGTCAAGGGGGACGGAGACAAGGAGGTGGCCACCTCCCCTCCCCTTTCTTCTCCTGCCCTCCGGCCCCTCCATGGCCTCCCACAAGCCCCCAATCCCTCAAGTCCAGAGAGACGCAGAGGACAAAGCTGGAGTGAGGGGCCCGTGCCCCCGTCCACTGCGGGGGCTCCTGGGGTGAGGGCTCATGTCCCCCCTTGTTATGGGGGCTCCTGAGGTGAGGACCCATGTCCCCGCCTGCTGTGGGCACTCTTGGAAGTCTCTGGGAGAGGGATCACGGTGGGTGGGGGTCAGAGGTGCTACAAGGCAGACCAAGGAGTCAGTGACGGCTGTGGGGGGCTGACAGCGGTGTGGAGGTGTGCTGGGCCCCCCATCCCCAAGGATGTCCTGGAGTGGAGGGGACGGAGGACCCGCCAAGGCTTGGCCGGGTTTCCACCCCCACCCAGAGGCGCCTCCCAGAGGCCTTTAAGGAAGGTCCCCCGCCACCGGGGGAGGGGAGAGCAAGCCTGCTGGGAGAGGTGTGAGGTGCAGATGGGACATTCAGTGGCCGAGACTGGGCTGGAGCCAGGGGCACAGATCCTCTGGCCAGGGGCTCTCTTGGGCCACCTTGGTCCCCTCTTCCTTCCTTCCTCCTCTCGAGAACTGGGGAAAAGCATGGAGGCCTGGAGGGTCAGAGGTCAGCATCTGGCACAGCCTGAGGTCTCCTGGCTAGCCCTGGGAGGGGGTCAACCTCTAAACCTCGGGGTTGGGGAGGGGCGTGCCCGGCTAGGGATGTCCCTGGTGACGCAAGCAGGACCTGGAGCCTCAGTGCAAAAGCCGCACCTGAGCCTGCGGCCTGTCTTGGCTCCTGATACCTGTCGGGAGAAAGAGGAGACTCTGACACCGGCAGGCTGAGCGCATCGAGCTGAATGTGAAGCTGCTCCCGGCCTCGTCCTGGCACCTGCACCCACTTCACGCTGGATCTCAGGCGGGCGCCTCGCCCTGCCTAGCCGGGACCATCTGATCTGTCACCGTGATTGACGCCTGTTGGTGGCGGGGGCTGTTTCCCCTCTCCCCTGCTTTCCCAGCCATATGCAAATGATTTCAGTTCAAGTAACACGCTAATGGAACCCTAACACATTAATAAATGTTTAGCGCGAGAGAGAGCCTGGCTGATCGTAAGTAATTAGACCCACGGCGGAGTTCTGTTGGCACAACTGTCTGGCTCCCTTTCTCCATTTTCCTCCACCGTCTCCAAAGAGATGCAGGAGGCGGGAGCGGGCGGGCGGGCGCGGCGGGGTCGGGCCAGCCTGGCACTCTGCGCTGGGCCCTAGCGTCTCCCCTCCACAGGGAACATCTGTTCAGCTCTGCCCACTTCCAGGTAAGCTGCAAAGCCTCAGTATCTAATCGCCAGTTCTGAGAGGCCCCGGCTGCTGTCGGGCCTTTGCATGGAGTGATGCAGACACAACTTGGCCTTCCTGCGGGGCCGCTGGGCTCGTGACACCGCGGGCCCCGAGGGTCTGCCCAATCGGGGCTGGAAACTGCCTCGAGGCTGGCGTGAGCACGGAGACCACACACACAACATGGCTGGCACCGAGAGAGCCCTGGAGCGTGTCAGCTGTCTCCCCCACCCCTACTTCCCATCTGCTCCCCATCCGTGCCTTCGGTCTCCTGAACCCCAGGACCTTACCTGGGTCCACCTGGTGCAGGGACAAAGCTTCAGGGTGGACAAAGGCCTCCGTGAAGATATGGGACTGGGGGCTAGGGGGCAGAACTGGAGGCGGAAATCGTTGCCCAGTTCCCTGCAGCCAGGTATATGCCACAGCGCCTCCCTGTTATGCCCAAAGAAATAAACACCCACTCCCCGACCCATTCTCCATATTGCTGTTGCGATTAGATTAAATTTTAAGAGCACACAAACGAAATGTTCCTCTCCGATGAAATTAGAAACAGGTGCACTTTTGCATAAGGAAATTAAGTCGCAGACAATATGAAGATTTGCTAAAATGCAGACACTGATGAAAATAAGTAGCCCTTTTATTTGTAATTATTGAGGCAATCTGTTCGAGAAGTGTACATGTTAATGGTCTGACAGATCCACGGAGCCTCTCAGAAAGTAACAGATTTTTTTTCTTAGAAAATATATGTACATTCCCTTCTCCATCCCTTGGTGCTATTTACAAGGCACGAAATGCCAGAAATAGGAATTCTGTGGCAACACCCGCGCCTCCCTAAAATACAAACTTCATCTGGGCAGAAAGACACAGACTCTGAGTCTCCTTCCTGGCCTGGAGTGTGGGCAGCGCGGGGGTGCGGGTGCTCACTGCCCAGGGTGTGGCACTGGGGTGCGGGCGCCGTCCTGGATGTGCGGTGGCTGGAATGTGGGTGCTGTCCCAGTGTGTGGGGCTCACTCGCCCGGGTCGTCCGTGCGATGCCGGCAGTACGGGCAGCACGTGTGCTGGAGAACCAGCAGCTCATAGTCCTCCGAGTGGAACATCTGCGGGACAGTGGCGGGGCTGAGCTCTGGGCGCTGATAACCTGGTCTGTGAGAACAGACCTGGACGCAGACAGGATGGGAGTCCGGTCCCTCCTTTCCTGGATGGCCACTCTCAGCATCCTCTCTGGGCCCGCGGCATCACGGGCGAGGGGAGGGAGGAAGGGCAGCCCTGGCCCCGCCCCCACCTTGGTTTCTGGGGCTCCCCCCTGTCTGCCCAAGGGAACCGGTGACGGGAAAGCAGTGGAAAGCGGGGAGCACCCAGGGTACCTGGAAGCAGGAGGGGCACATGGTGACGGCAGCGCCGGGCAGGAGCGAGCGGAAGTATTGCCAACGCAGGGGCCGAGGCCAGCGCTTGATGAGGACGTCCCGGCGGCTCATGGAGCGCAGCACGGAGCGGTTCACCACCACAGGCACGAACTCCGAGCCCCCCTGCTGCAGGGTGGGTAGGCAGGCAGCAGGGGCCCGGGACCCTCCCCACGGGGCCCCCAGCCTCTGGGTGACCAGAGACATCCCCAGCCGGGAGCTAGGACAGAACCCAGCTGTGTCCCCCATGGCCCCCGGGACAGGGAGCCGCTGCCTCCCCACAGGGAGGGGCACATGGGAGGAAGCTCGCACCCTGCTCCCGGCTGCCCCCGCTCCTCAGCTTCCAGTGCTCGGGGGTCCCTTACCTCAAAACTCAGCTTTGCTGTGAAGGGGTCACTGTCCCCCATGGTGTCCGCACTCTCATCCAGCCTCAGAGTCTGGGAATCTGAGGAGTCTGGTCAAGGAAGGGGCCTACAGCAAAGGGGAACCGGCGCGTCCACCCCTCCACAGGGAGGGCGCCTTCGGGGTCTGATGCCCGGAACCACCTGGTTCCATCATCCCTAGGTCCCACCGGGAGTGATCCCTGAGCTCAGAGCCAGGACTAAGCGCTGAGCACTGCTGGGGTGGCCCAAACTGAAAGGCTCACGGGTGCCCTGACCAGCTTCCTCGGGTGCTGGGAGACACAGGTTCCCTGAGCCAGCGGCAGCTCCTGCCACACTGGGTTAGATTCCATGGGAAAGGGGCAGAGTTCCTGCAACTCCCCGCTCAGCCGGGGAGCGCTCCACCCAGGCGGGCCAACTGTGGGTGCCTGTCCCGCGTGGCGCACACAGGCCGCTCAGCAGCCTGGTCTTCCCACCGTGTCCTTTTCTCCCAAAAAATGTGGCCCAGGGAGGAGTGGTCTGGGCCTGACCTGGTGGCATCCAGCCATGGGGACCTGCAGGCACTGTGCTGACAGCCCAGATGATAAGTGAGGGACCGGGCGTGGGAACCAGTGTGCAGCACTGGGCTTTGCTAAGGCTGACGGGAGAGAGGCAGGGCCGGCCCTGCCCTGGGCAAGCGGCTGCCTCTGCACGAAGCACCCAAAGGGGAAGGAGAGGGAAGGGACCATCTGTGGCCTGGAAGGAAGGGACCATCTGTGGCCGGGACCATCTGCCGGGTGTGTGGAGTTCCATCCAAGGCTCGGTTGTGTAGCCTGAGTGGAGGTCTCTGTCACCTCTGCATACGTAAGTCACCTGCCCACGCCCCACAGGCTGCATCCTGCAGGCAGTGCCACCCCTGTGAGTGCCAAGGGGCTGCCTCCCCGCCTCAGGCACTGCCCACTCAGCCGCCCTGCCCTTCTGGTCCGTCCCACAGCCCAGGATACTGCTACTCGTCACCTCCTGCCACTTGGTCTCGTGCTTCTGCGTCGGTGCCTCCAGGTTGATGAGGGCCACGGCCTCCTCGTCGGTGATGCCGTCCTCCAGGTAGAACTCCACCAGGTGCAGCACCTCTGCGGGCACACGCACAGCCGCCCCGTCACCCCCACCCGCCGGCAGAGGCCCGTGTGCTTGCCAGTGATGTGCACGCGTGTACGTGTGCACTGACACAGCTGAGGACGGGGTCTCGGCTGCGAGGTCCCGGCCATGGGCAGCCGTTACTCACCGTAGGAGGAAGCGGAAAAGACGAAGGGCTGGCGGCAGTTGATGCAGACGTTGCCCAGGTTGTTGAGCAGGGGGTTGTTGGTGGAGCAGCGGTAGCACAAGGGCACCAGCTCCTGTGGACACAAGCGCCGCCCCGGCCTGTGAGCATAGGGGGAAGGGGCAGCTGAGGAGCAGGGGGCGGGCCCTGCCACCTGCAGGAAGGTGAGAATTGAGGCCACTGCCCGGCTCTGGACGGGCTCGCCCGCGCGGCCTCTGCACAGAGGCAGCCGGAGGTCCGGGAAAGTTGAGCTGAGCTTGGGACAGGTGGGGCTGGGGTCTGACACCAGTCTGTCTGTCTGTCCGGAGGGCTGGAGAACGCAGACTAGGCCGGAGCAGGGCTGAAAACGCTGGGACCCAAGTCATGATCTGGCCCCAGCAGGATCCTAGCCGGGACTTAGCTGCAGCTGAGCACTGCAGGCTGAAAGATGAAATGAAGGGAGCTGGGAGCTGGGAGCTGGAATGGGGTGGGGAGGGCGGGGAGGCAGCAGAGGGGAGGCCTGGAGCCGTGCAGACATGGCAGCCAAGTTCCCAATGCCCCCTGGACCTGTGAGGGGGACGCGGTCCACCCTGAGGCGCCAGGAGAACCCACCTCACTGTCATGGAAGGGCTTGGAGCGAATGGTCAGGCTGCCCAGCTCGATGCACTTCTGGAACTTGTCAGGGACCTTCAGGCCCTGCAGCTTGTCATAGGTGTGTCGGGCCAGCTTGTAGGCGCCCAGGGCCTTGCTCTGCTTGGCCAGGGTGTAGAGCGTTTTCCTGCCGGCCCCGGGTTAAGGAAGGCAGAGGCCGTATGCAGAGCGAGCCCTGAGCTGGATGCAGCTCCGCCGGAGACAGGGGCAGGGATGGGAGCTGCTCCTCTGCTGGATCCAAGCTGTGGATGTTCCCGGAGATGGAGACAGCCCGGCCCCCTTTCATATTCTAACGTTGTGCAGGCCCTCTGCGCTGCCCACCAGCTCCGTCTCCTCCAGCTCCTCCCGCTGCGCCCATGTGTGCCCCCAATGCCAGGGCACTGCCCCCACCTTGCTAAGCTGAACCGTCTAAGGTCAAGTCCCACAGTTCCTCTCGGTTTCCCGTGCCTTGCAGCCCCCATGGGACCCTACGCAGGCAGTCACAGTGGGGTGACCCAGACCCCCCACCCCATGAAGCTCCCGTCCTGCAGTCCCAGGAGGTGGGAGTCACAGGGGTGGCACACAGCCAGGGCTGGGACAGGGGGCTGTGCAAACTGGTCTGGACAGAACCTGATGACAGCTGGGGCCCTGGAGTCTTGATCTGGGGGTTGCCCTGGCACGGAGCCCTGGGTCTGGAACCCTGGGAAGAAGCCCATGCTCCTCTCCTGGGAGGGGATCTTCCTTCCAGCAAGGATGGTGGGGAGGGACAGACCCACCCCCCAGACCCCAGAACCCCACCAGTGGTTGGCACAGGCTCTGAGTCCCTGGCTCTGGGCCCTGCGTGGGCCTCACTGGCCAGGCCCTCAGCTCCTCCCTCACTGTGCCCGCAGTGCTCCTTCCCCCAGCTCCTCCCTTGCCAACCCTGTGGTGCTCCTGCCTTCCCAGAGCTCAGTCCTTCCTGCACCTCCATCTGCTGCCTTCCCCATCCACCTCCTCTATAGGATGGTGACACCTCCTCCAGGCAGCCTTGCCTGCCCCTGGTCCTGGCCTTAGCAACATTCTACCCACTGCGCCATGCCTGACACTAGTCACCTGCCACCAAACGGCAGTTCTGTCACTTCTGATTTGGTTGAGTCCCTGGGCTCCAACCACCTGCTCCCGACCCCGCCGCAAGTGTCCTGGGTTCCGAGTCCTGGTACTCGCCTCTCTCCAGTCCACTCTCCCCCACCCCACCCCGCGCCCCCGTCCCCACGGCGGATTCGGGGAGGTGGGACACGTCGAGGGCCAGAGGTCCACTGCTGGGCGCAGCCCGAGAGCCCAGGCACTCATCTCCTCTTGGCACCGGCCCCCTGGCAGGGCCTCTCCCCAGCACAGGGCAAGTTCTTGCCCTCCCTGAGGGAGGTTCTGCCAGGAAGCCTCTGGAAAGAAACGCTCAGGCCATTAGACAAGAGTGGGACTGGGGCGGGGCGAGGGAAGGATACACTTTAGAGATGCCCAAGGGGGTGTCCTTGGTCAGGCTGTGCAGCAGGAACCTGGAGATGTTGAAAAGCGTTTCAGGAAGATGGAAGCTGAACGGCTCCTCCTGCGTGAGGAAAGCGCATGGCGTTCTGGGCGGGGCCGCGCGAGTCGCTGCAGCCGCCACCACTCACTGTGCGGGGGGGGGGGGGGGGAGGGTTCGGAGCTGAGCGACCCCCGGAGAATCCCGAAGAGCAGGACAGCGCGGGTGACCGCATTTCCAGGGAGGCCAGGGGCCTCTGGTTCTCCACAGTGGCCTGAGCCACGCCCAGAGCGACCCCGGTGCAGAGCTGTCATCAGCTCACGGTGCCCAGCGCCTGGCACAGCCCCGAGGTCACGGCGCTCGGCCTCCAGCTGAGCAAACAGACCCTCAGCTCCTGAGGGAAGGATCCGGGCACAGGGCAGGGTACAGCGCCCTGCTGAAGGAGGGCAGGGGGGGCAGCCTGCCACCTGCCTGTCATTGCCTTCCCTAGCCCTGGCCTTGCTGTGGCCAGGGAGTCCACCCTCATCTCGGGCCCAGCGCTCTGCCTTGGTGGGCCTCACTCATGCTGCCCTGTGCTCCTGAGACTGATGCCCCTGCTGGTCTTAAGACTGATGCCCCTGCTGGCCGGAAACCCCTGAGCCGGAGACCCCCCACCCCACCTCTGGCTCTATGGCGTGAGATGGGGAATGCGGGTCCCCGCTGCTCTGGGAGGGAGCCCCGTTTCAGGAGGGGCGGATGCTCCCCCTCTGGTGCTCCCCGAGAGCTGCTCAGATCACCCTGGTGCCAAACCCTCAGACCCCCTTAGGCTCACCTATGTGCCTGCTTGACCCATTAGGACTGCCTGCCCACCTGCTTTACCCATTCAGCTCTGCACCCTCTCCTCTTCCTCCAGGAAGCCCTCCTAGTGCACTGTTTCCCTTGAGGGCACTGTACCACCGGAGAGCTGACCAGAGAGCGCCCATGGGCAGCAACAAGGTTTGGGTGGGTGCTCTGAGACCTCAGCATGGGCCTGTCAAACAGTAGGTGTCTGCTGGGTGGAGGATGGGCCCAGCTCCTGCTGGCGGGACCAAGAGCCATCCAGAGGAGAGAAGTGCTGGTCCCAGGGGGCGGTGCAGGGCATGGCCAGGCTCCTTCTGGGATGAGCGCCTGGAGGCCTAGGCCAGGTGCAGAGTGCAGTCTGCGGGCTCTGACCCGATTCCCAGGCAGCAGGAAGGTGCCACAGGAACGAGGGGAAGGGCAGAGGCCTCGGGGCGTGGGTGGGGACCTGTCATAGTCAGGGCTCCCCATTTCAGTGGGAGACCCTGTGCTCAGCCTCCATGTTAGGCAGAGGCCAGTGCGGCGTCGGGCCTGGCAGCCGAGCTGTCCCAGTTGCGCCTCTGCAGCTGCTGGGAGGGACGACAGGCTCGCAGTGCGGCTGCCACCGCTCTTCTCCTGCTCGTCAGCCTGGGACAAGCACCCTACCTCAGGGAACGCTCAACGTCTGTGCAGTCACTGAGGACACCGAGAGGCAGCTGGCAGCAGCCTGGCACCTGCTCCCCGCTGCCGATGGGTAGATGGAAAGGGGGCTGGCCAGAAGCAGCCAGGAACGGCCGGGAAGGAGCGCTGGGCCGCGGGAGGAGGCCGGGTCCCGGGACTTGGGAGGAAACTGAGAGGGCAGGTCAGCTACAGGCATGCACAGGGCAGGAAGTGACCTCGCCTCTGGTTCCCGACGGGTGCCCCATTCACCCTCTGAGCACAGCCCCTATAGGACGTCTGCCCAGGTCACTTCAGGCCTGCAACCCTTGGGCCAAGCCAGAGCCCAAGTCATCCAACCTGAGGTGAGCAGCTACAAAGGCCTATTGCAGGGGCCAGAGCGACAGGATAGTGGGGAGAGAGCTTGCCTCATGCAGCAGACCGAGGTTCAATCCCCGTCATCCCATACTGAGCCCATGAGCACTGCCAGGAGCGATTCCTGAGTGCAGAGTCAGGAGTAGCCCCTGAGCATCACCAAATGTGACCCAAAACAAAATCAAGGGGAGCCAAAACTCACCAAGACTCAGCAAGTAGCTGGGGGCCAAGGACACGGCTGAGTCAGCAGGAGTGAGTTTGGCTAGAACTTGTGAGGCTGTGTGTACACACAGACATACAGACAGAAATAAACACACACAAGCACTTATACAACACACACACATACACACACACACACACGCGCACACGTATACACTCATACCATACCCGCCCCCCCACCCCCATCCCAAAAGCAGGATTTGGGGCCGGAAGAGCCCAGCAGGCTGAGCACACACTTTACATGCTGGAGCCCTGTGTTTGATGCTCGGTACCACACGGCCCCCAATCACCCAGGGGAGTGACCCCACAGCACTGAGGCCCAAATGAGCAGGCCCCAGAGAAACAGGGAAGGGCCGGCCCAGTCGCCTTACCAAGTAGCGGTGGATGGCGTGGTAGCCGTGATAGAGCTCGGCCAGGTGCTGGTAGTGGTGGAACTTGCTGAGCATGCTGGCCTCCTGGACAGGATCTGCGGCGGGGGGCAGGGCGGAGGAGTCAGATGGTGTCTCGGAGGAAGGGCCAAGCAATGGCAGCGCGGCCAGCTTCTGGGTGCCCCCAGTACTGACCCGAGCCTCGGAGGGCAAAAGGTGCCATGAGGAAGAGGCGCTCTGCGGAGAGGCCGGCGGAGCCCAAGGCCTGGCACTACCTCAGGACACTGGGTTGGGCTGCCCCAGGCCAGGCACTCCCCTTCCCTGAGGGAGCAGCGCTGTGGCAGAAAGAAAGAGGCCGCCGGCCCCCAGATGTCCCAGAGCGCGTGGGAAAGGGTGTGCAGGGGTCAGCTGGGCCTGCTCACCTCCTGCCTCCTTCCCCCTGGGTCCTGCCCCGTCCAGGTCAGGAGCCCCAGCAGGGACAGAGATGCCCACCGCACACTGGCCTTCCTGAGGCCACGACACCACAGGGATGAGCTCTGACATGGTTAGTGGCCTCCAATGCCAGTGTTCCCCCAAGAGGGCAGGCTGGCCCTGGGCCCTCGGCTTCCAGAACGCCCTCAGTGCATCACAGCAAAGCGCAGAGGAAAGCAACATTAAACCATCTCCCTGCCTGGGCCGGGTGAGAATCTGGAGTGTGTTACTGTGAAGTGACCCTTTTCTCATCTCTCATTTAATTATAAAGGGTCCCGCGGTGGGGCCCCAGGTAACAGGGAGGGACGCACTGACTTAGCGGCCAGGGCAGGGTCTCCCAACTGCAGCCCGGGGAAGGCCCTCCTCACCTCCTCCAGCCTATGGGCAAGCTGGAAAGATGACACGGCAGATTAAGCGTCAGCAAGGCAGGGTTCCGGACAATACACCCCATCCACGAGCCCAGGGCTTTGATTAAAGCGTCCAGCCTTTCCGATGTTTATCTTGGTGCCAGAGCGGGGCCGGGGAGAGCAGCGGCCTGGCGGCTGTTTGCTTACCTTGAGCTATATTGAGGCACTGCATGGACAGCTTCCAGTAATAATAGGCGGCGTCATTGAATCTGCTTTCCACCACGGCATTGTGCGTGAGCTGCTCCAGCACCCGGACGGCCTCCTGCTGCCGCCCGGCCTTGTGGAAGGCTGCAGGGCACAAAGCACAGGCCATGCTGAGGGCAGGGATTCGCGGGGCTTGGCAGGGGCTGCGAGGGAAGCGGCATGTGGAGCCCTGGAGGCGGAAGGGTCTAAATACCAAGGCTGCAGCCCTGGGGGAGCACACAGACATCACACTGCTTTTCTGTCCAACAAAAGGCAACCAAGTTTGGGAGGGAAACACCAGGGCCAATGTGCAGGGCGGGAGACGGAGGGATTCCGGCCTCTGTAGGTAAGGCTCCACTATGCCCCCTCCAGGGCAAAGTGCTGTGGGTCGCAAGATGGCACCGACAGGACCTGACTCTGCCATCAGGCCTGGCACTTCACAAAGGACCTTGGTTGTGACGGCCTCAAGGGACCATCATGACAGGCTCAGCACGCAGGCAGTAAAGTGGCCACCCCAGGTCACCAACCTGAGTCCCGTTTAGGCCCTCCACTCACCTTCAATGCACTTTTAGGTGAGAATCTTGGAAAAATAGGGCTCCCTTCTAGCAGCCAACATCTGCAAAACCCCTGAACCAACATCTTACAAACACTGCATCTCCATCCTCTAAACGAAGATGCCCGAGCACCTCCTGTGTGCCAGGTCCTGGGGGTGGGGTGGGGCAGGGCTTCGGGAAGTCACGTCTGGTTATGACACGTGCCCGCATATGGGCACTCAGATGACCCAAATCCTCCACTTTTGGGAAGAAAGCTCTGGCCTTTGTCTATTCTCATCGCTCATCTCCTGTCTGAGCCCCAAGTTACTATGGCGATGGATTCTTGGAAGGGCAGACGCAGACAGATGGGCAGGTTGATGTGTTTTGCCCAAACATGCACATACTTCAGCCACTGGGTGCTCTGGAGCTGCCGAGGCGGCGGGGGGGGGGGGGGGGGGGGGGGAGTGCCACCCTCTGTGGGGGCTTTCAGCTGAGGAGCTCCAACGGGGGGACTGAACACAGCGTTCACAAGTGGGGCCGGTCCCTACACACCAGGGAGCTCGCACACAGCTGAGAGCGGTGAGAAGACACCCTGTGAGGCGGCCAGGCCTCACGGGCAGAAGCAGGAGCCTCTGCTGGGCGCTGGCGAGGCACAAGGTAAAGCGCCCAGCTAGCCTCTGGCATAGAGCGGGCAGGCACTGCCAGGGAGCACGTTCCACTCCTCCACGCCGGCTCCAGGCATGGTTCTGTGCCTGTGTACACTACCCCCTTTTGTCAACAAGACACAGAGGAGCCTGCATAGAGGAAGGGGGTGTTGAGAGCGTGAGGGACTCATCAGGGAGTCCTCCCTCTGGCCGTCTCCTTGAGGAACCGCTGGCCAGTCCCTCTCTCCTCTCACCTGCTTCCTCCCCTCGGACCCGGGCCAGCCTGGGAGCAGTCAAGCTGCAGGGCTGACCACGAATCCATGGGCTGAGGCATCCGAGGGCTTGGCATTGAAGGGGTGGGTCTGCCCAGATCGCCTGCAGAAGCCCCAGGCCAGTCTGTGTGGAATCTGGGGGTGCCCCCATCAAATATATCCCAGCCCCAGATGCAGTGGTCTGCAGGGGTGTCGGGGCAGGGGCTGGGCAGCCTCTCTGGGCAGAGACTCCTCCTGGCCTTGCTTCCACGGCCAGGCATGGCAGCCTACCTTTCTGAGCCTCTTCAAAACGATCATTCTCAGCGAGCCACTGTGCGTAGGGCACGTAGATGTCGTCCTTATACTCGGGATGCTTCTCGCCCAGGGCGAAGGCCTGCAGGAAGGAGCAGAGGGTTCTGCCCACGGCGTCCCCAAGGAAGCACCGGCTGGGCTGAGTCCATTAGGGGTGTCAGATTTTGCCAGCCTGAGAGCACAGAGGGGGAGCATGCCCCCCCACCCAACCCCCCAGAAGCGCAAAAACAAATCAGCTCTTTGAAAACAAAAGGCAATTAGCAGCAATATGCAAGCTCCTGGATTCAATAACAACACAGTCTGTTTCTGGACCACAGAAGCGGCACAGAATCGGAAACATTTTATTTTGAGGGTTTGCGTGGGCTCCTGGAGCGCTGCAAACAGATTTCTTTTAATTGCAGGCAACACCTAAGGAAGCAGAATTGACACGATCCTCGTCACTGCTTATTAGCTCTCAGAGAGGATGGTGCCCTCACTCGCTGCTGCAGGGGACCCGTGGCTACTTTCATTGAGCCCAGAACCGGAAATGAGTCACCAGGGACAGGACATGGCAACAGCGAACAAGCTGGTCTGACACCCCGCCAAGACCGAGTGGTTCAAAGATGCTCTGATTGCGGCTGCTGGAGAAGACCTCCTGCCATCCCAGGTGGAGAAGCCAGCATCCCTCAGCAGCGACCTGGCACCTCACCAGCTGGAGCGACTCGGAGGGCAGGAGAGCCGGGCAGCGCTTGCCCAGAGGAGGCCTGCGAAGGCGCGATCAGGCAGCCTAACTGGCAGCTCTAGTGAAGTGAGAACCACGGGCGCAGAGAAGACTCGGTGAGGGAAAAGGCGTCGTGGGCCGGAAGGAGCCAAGCCAGAAAAGGCTGCTTCCGGCCCTGCCACCTCTCCTGCAGGCCTGGATGGTTGGTTCTCACCTGTTCTGGGCTCTACCTCTCCTGCGGGACTGGACGGTTGGGGTTGGTTCTCACCGGCTTCCGCCCCCTGCCCCCTGCCCTTTCCTGAGGGCCTGGATGGTTGGTTCTCATCTCCTTCTGCCCACCCTCCCTCGCCCTGCAACCTCTCTGTGGGCCTAGATGGTTAGTTCTCACCTGCTCTGGGCCCCCACCTCTCCTGCGGGCTGGACAGTTGGTTCTCAACTGCTTCCGGCCCCCCGCCACCTCTCCTGTGGCCAGGCGGTTCTCTCCCTTTGCCCCAGGAGGGGCCCAGTAGGGAGTAGGCAGCACGCCCCCGGGAAGGACAGAGGGCAGTTCCTGCCCCAGTGCCGCATGGCCATCACACAGGCATGTCTCACGTCAGAGGTGTCGCTGTGGTGCCGCTCAGAGGCAGCTCAGACCCGGGCAGGCCTGGAGCTGGGCGTCGGCGGACGAATGAATGAATGGACGGGCGAGCGAAGAGCCGGCCCCCCTCACCTCATCCCAGCGCTGCGTGTCCACGTGCAGCCGGATGAGGGACTTCAGGTCGCCGATCTTCAGGTAGGTCTCGGCCGCGTAGCCGGGGTTCTCCAGCTTCCTGAAGTACTGCGCGCACAGCAGCAACGGCTCCCGCTCCGCCTTGTCCAGCTTCCGGGCGATGTCGATCAACCTGGAGAGGAGAGGGCAGTGAGGAGAGGAGCGAGTGGGAGGACGCCCCCAGGAAAGGAGCTGAGGGCAGGCGGGTATGGGGGACTTTTGCCGTCCATGTCCCGAGGCCTCCTGGGGCGAGAGGGCTGAGAGACCCCGGTGACGATGCCGGCCACAGGCCCTGTCCCCCACCTCACAGGCCTCCTCAGCAGTTACTGGACCACCAGCAGGCCGTGGAAAGAGAAACGCATGTCTGCCCGTCACCTCCTGTCCCCAGCTCATGTTCTCACTACACCTCCTCGCCCTGCGGGAGGGGACTGTTGCCACTTGACTAAAACTCTGGGCCAGCCTGCTGGGAACTGTCCAAGCTCGTGGCAGGCCATCGAGGTGAGAGGTGAGTGTGGGCCTGCTCTGGGCTCTGGAGAAGGGCCAGCGAGGAGCGCTGCCCTCCCCACGGGGGACACAGGGTGCTCCCCTGTGGGGAGGCTGGGGTGCGGAGCAGCCCAGGTCTCCCCGAAAGGCTGCTATCCTTGCTCCTAGTGAGAAAGAACAGGGAGGCAGCTGCCGTCTCTCCGGCAAGCTCAGGGACCTGTCAATCTACACTCTGAATAATAATGGCCTCTAAAAATAACACTGCTCCCTCGGCAGAGAAAAGGACATGTTTTTAGGGAAAGGTGGTGCAGCAGCCCTGGCGTACCCCCGCCCCAAGCCAGCGTTTCTGGAGGAGAGGCACCAGCTCCAGTCAGATCTGCAGGGGGCTGAACCTGCACCGCTCGGGAACCCCCACACCCCGGGGTCACCAAGTAGCTATTGTCAGCAAATCAAATCAGCAGGAAAATGCCACAGGGAGTGGAGCCTCAGTGTGCCTGGGTCTGCCCTGAATCACCCTGGCCATAAAAAAGGATCATTTTGGAGGCAAGGTCTGTGCCTCAAGTTCCCCCAGAAAACCACCATTTCTGAACAAGAGAAGCTAGAATCTAAGTCCCAGCACATGCCAACCACTAGCGGGGCTCCTCTCCTTCCTAGGCCCTGTCTGCGCCGCCACTGCCCACCACGGGGGCACCGGTTCACTTCCAGAACAACTACAGCCATCAGGACCCAGACTGAGTCAACTTTAGGAGTCCCTCCCCTTACCTGTGACAACATGTGCACACATGTGTATAGGCATACACACACAAGTCCACACATACATGTGTACACATATGTAGCGCACACACATTCACAAAGCACACATGTATACACATGTGTACTCATGTACAGAGCACCCCCATACACATAAACATGTGCTTGCATCACCCGCACATGCATGCACAGGAAGAGACACACACAAAGTGTACATGCAGATACATATGTGTACGCACATGCAGACACAGAAGCAGACATATGCAAACGCACACACAGAAGCAGACATTTTCACAGAGTGTGCACGTGCACACACACGCATGTGTGAAGCCCATTTTCTCTGGGTCCATCCCTGCTGGCTGCCCAGCCTCCAGCCCTCTCCTCATCTGGCTCCCAGGGCTTGCGTCAGCCTCCGTGGCCGACAGGTCTCCCCCTCTGAGCCCGGCCAGACCCACCCATCCCTCTGGCCTGCATCCTTGCTCCTTCCTCCTCCTCTTTCTTTTCAATTATTCTCTTTGGGGGCTGTGCGCAGGACTTACTCCTGCCTCTGCACTCTAGGATCACTCCAGCTGAGGCTTGGGAGACTCTGGGGTGCCGGGGATTTAACCCCGGCCAGCCTCATGCAAAGCAAGCGTTCTCCTGCTGTCCCACGGCTCTGTCCTGCCCGGCCTCTCCTTCCTGCAATGCCTCCTGGAAGACACCTGGTTTCTCTGAGGCTTCCTGTCTCCTTCCCTGAGATGCCCATCATGTTCCTGGCATCACTTCCTCCCAGGGTACTTGGAGTGTTGCTGAAGTCCCCGACCGTTGGAGCTCAGCTCCTGGACTGACAGCTGTTGGGCCTCGTGGGGTCCCTTGGTTGGTGCCCTCCTTTGGAGAAACGGTGTGGGGAGGAAAACCCAGTGCCCACAGAGGGCTGTGGTGCCAGGCCCACAGTGCGAGCTCAGCCAACGCCGCTCTGATGCCTGGTGGCACCCCTCCACCCCCGCCCCAAGACTCGGCAGTTGACTTGTTCAATTCGTGGGCCCCCAGACCCAGTCACTCTCCTGAGGGACTGAGACAGGCTGGCACGGTGACACGCTGCCCAACCCTTCTTGGGGCAGGGCTGGGCACCTACATGTCCACCCAGCCGTGGTCGCCGCTGATCTCGATGGCCTTGGTGTGCTCCCCCGCGGACATGTACATCTCCACAGCAGCTTTGGGCTCGTTGATATTTCGAGCCCAGTCCGCCTGCTTGGTGATTAGCATCTTTGTTTCTTTGGGGTCTCCAGATCCAAGGAAATCCTGAGGAAGCACAACAAACAAAAGCCCTCGGGTGAGAACTTCCTGCCGCAGCATGACGTCAGGCGGCACAGGGAAGGGCGTGTGGGCTGCACGGAGCAGGATGCAGGCCAGGCTGGGGCCTGCAGCAGGCAGGAGGGCGCGCAGTCTGCCCCAGGCCAGTGTCAAGGACTTCGCCTGAGCTTTTCCGGCCTGGCCCACGAGTGCGCATTTTTTTAGTGAAATACTTTCCGGACTCTGAAAACTGCGCAAACTATGGGGAGGGGGGAGGGTTGGGTCTCTCGCCTCTCTCCCTCTCTCCTCTCTCCTCCAGTGTGTATCTCTTCCTCTGGGGCAGCTCAAATATTCAGACCTACTCTTTTTTTCAGATAATATGAATGACAGCACGTGCCTGAGTGAGATTGAGCACATGGTTCCCGAAAAGTAAATGGATAAACCGCTTTAGAAAGTTCGAGAGGAGCCCTCTGCGCCCTCCCCTCTTCCAGCAGCGCATGTGGGAAGTGTGTTCACATCCGTCTTCCCAGTCTAGTCAGGATAGGTGTTGCTGTGCTCTGCCATTGGGGTTTGCCTGGAGAGAAAGAGCCACCAGTGATCTGGTCAATCATTTCTCTGAGCGGCGTCTGCGGGTGGGGACGGCGGGGCCACAGGGCCTAGAGGGACCTTCTGCCTGTGGTCGGGGGCCAGGCCTGCGTGCGTTCCACCGCCAGAGACCCTTCAGGGGCTGTGCCAGCTTCCCGAGCTGCCTGGGGAAGGCAGGAGAGACGGCCCCAGAAAATCACCTCACTTCGGGATCCGTTCCCCAAAATACAAACGTGGGAGTGTGCCTCAGCTGAGGCCGCGCTGGTGCTGACACTTTTAAAGGTGGGGCTTTTCAGAAAGGGAAATTGAGCGCGCTGAGAGCCCGGCTCCGCCATTAGGTGAGTCTCAGGAATAATGAGAGCAAAGTGTGGAGTGTCAACCCCGGCTCGGATTAAAAAAGCACTCCCTCCCCAGATCAGCTCTCATTTGTCAGGAATGTAGAGGCGACGCATGCTAAAAACCCACTGGAACAATTAGTGCTCTCTTTCTTTCCCCTTTGATTCCAGGATAATTGGGTAGCCCCTAAAATAATATCTTAGATGGCCTGAGACAACCAGCAGTTTAAGGGGCGGCAAGGGCCTCTGGCCGCTCGAGGCGGCGGATCCAGCCCAGGCCAGGCCCCTCACAGGCCTGCGGTCTCCCCGCGCTCACGGGGGCGGGGGCGGGGGCGGGCAGGCAGCCCCTGGCTCGGTAGGTGCCCGGCGTGGGCCCTTCTAGATGCCTCTTCGTTTTTGGTAGCTCTCTTCCGTGGACCCAGAGTCAGAAGTTCTGTCCGTCTGGCTGGACAAACGAGGTGGGCTCCTGGAGAAAAGGCACCTGAGAGAGCAGAACTGTCCTTTCAAGTGCAAGGAGTCGGGGACTACAGTGAGGGGGCAGAGGACACGGGGAGCCGCACCCGGGCTTGAGGGAGCCTCAGTGCCACCAGCCCAGCTCCCGGAGCCCTGACTGAACTGACGCTGGGTGGCTAAACGGTTTTTCCAAAGCTTCACAGACCGGGTTCCAAAGGCTCTCCGGTTCTGGGAAGCTGACTGACATGTTATCTGGGGGCCATGGCAGAAACCCCCCCCTAGGCTGGACGGAAAGAGGCCCAACAGGGTGATGAATGAGACGAGGCAGTGTTCTCATGCGTGGTGATTTTGATAAGGACATGCTACATAGGAGTTAAGAGCATTATAATTCCCTTTATCACCATATAAACATGTCACTTATCCGGAAAACGTACAATTTATTTGTACGTGGGAATGTAATTTAAAAATTTTCCGAAAACCAGATTGAATCCTGGGAAGCAATTTTCAAGTAAACAAAAACATGCCATGTTAATAAGCACTGTGGACCCTCCCCCCGCATAATGTGTATGTACACACTTCCTCAAGTTCAGACTATTGGGGGGGTTGAAACGAAACCAACCTACTTGGAATTGTGACTGAAAACTAAAACCAAAAACAACCCCCAGAATATTTACCTTCCGAGAGAGAAAGACCAGATGGAGTGTTTCTGGGTGGGAGAGCGGGCCCGTGCGCGGGGGCTGGGCGCGGGGAGCCACCTCAGCTGTGAGGGGAGACTTGGGGGCAGGGGCGGGGTGGGGCCGCCGGGAGCCGTCGGGCCGGCAGCCGCTCAGGGACTCCCCCGTGGTTTCATGGCTGTCTCCCTCCCACATGACCTGTGCCACGCTCAGAACCAAGCACCGCGGGGCTGTTCCTCTCTGACAGGAAAATGGCAGTTGGACAAAGCAGTGTCTTTCCCAAGCTCCTCTCCCACCTCCCACCCCTGCCCGGGCACGGCCTTGGCTGAGTGAGTGGTTGGGAGGTTGCTGGGGCTCCTGAAGGGGCTTTTGGACTGGAAAAGCAAAGGCGGAAAGCTGACTCCAGCCTGGATTCTGTCTCTAAGGGTTTCAGACTTCAGTTGAACGTTTTTGTCTTCAGCTGAACTGTTATCCCCAGAGACACACTGATTTTATACAGCCCCAATATGAAGGAGTACAGAATCGTGTGTGTGTGTGTGCACGCGCGTCTGTGTGTGTGTGTGTGTGTGTGAGAGAGAGAGAGAGAGAGAGAGAGTGAGAGAGAGAGAGAGAGAGATGCATGGCACCCAAGTCTGCGGAATGGGATGAAGGAAGAGGCTAAGGAAACAAAGAGGTAAGGTCCCAGGTGCTGTGTGGGTACTGACGGCAGAAACACCCAGGTCACATCCCAGCTGCCCTGACATAACCTTCAGCCGCCAGCATCCGACCAAACGGTGGCAGACAGAAGAGTGCAGTCATCTACGGGAACAGAGAAGCAGAAAAAACTGGGGAAGGTTTTCCATCTTGAACTTGTGAGCTAGATAATTACCATTAATAGCCACTAATTGGTTGTGGTGATGACTCATTTAATAGCATTCTGAAGCCTCTTCTGATGCTACCAGGAAAGGTGGTTTAACCATGGCAGTCTGAGGAGGAAGCCCAGCTGCCCCGCGCACCATGGAGCCTTCCCTGGCATGATGGGCACCGTGAGCGTCCCCACCATCCCGGCGGACTCGCTCTCACATGGCCACTTGGAGCCCTCTCTGGAAGCTCCCGCGAGCTCCAGTGAGGAACAAACCTCAGGGGCTCCTCCAGAAATCCCTTCTCCGTCATCCCCTCCAGACCACTGCAGAGCCCCTGTGCTCCTCTGGAGGGGCAGGACCACTTGGAAGGCAGGTGCTTCGGGGCACTTTAGCCAGAGTGACTCCATGGTCCGATCTGAGAAGGGCAGAGGACACTGACCAGAGGCTTCAGAGAACTGGTGGGGGCAGCCTGGACCTGTCAGGAAGGGAGAATCTGCTTCACACTCAGTCCCCTGAACTCCGTTGCTGACAAAGGTCTAAACCGTCCTGCTCTGACGGCAGCCTAGAAAGGTAACTTTTAGTTCGGCCTCGCCATGGCCACTGAGGGTTCCCCCGTGACCCGTTTGTAGGCCACTGCCGTGTGGGCAGCCCAAGGCCCAGCACGAGGTAGGTTACCTTGGCGTACTCAAACATGCGCAGGTCAGAGTACATGTCCAGCGCGAGGCTTTCGTGCCCGCTCTTCTTGTACAGTTTGGCGGCCTCGTGGAACTTCCCCTGGTAGGAAAACACATCTGCCAGAAACAGGTCATTGTTGGTCTCTCCCCGCTTCTTCCTCTCCTGGAAAAATTAGAAGCACAGGAAATGGCCTCTGCAGCCATGGCAGGAAGCAGCCCTCACAAAGGCTGGACGTTGCTATTTCAAGTGAAGCCCCCGGGCCTGCCTTCTGGAACCACTTTTGGCTCCTGGGCTGTTGTGTCTCTCACCTAGGTTTCTGATGGGAATGCTGGATAATAAAGGCAGATATTTTTTCCAGACAAGTGCAGATCAAAAGAGAATGGAGCTTCTGTTTACTTAGTGGAAATTCCTCAGGGCTGCTTTCTTCCAAGGCAGCCACCACACAGTGAGGACGTGGTGGCCCTGGGTGCCCCAGGCCTCTCGGGTGGAAGTGTAACTCCACCACGATGACAGCAGACCAGGAGAAAAGTCTAGGGCCTCTGCCCAAGAAGGAGACCATGCAACGGGATGGTAAGTCTAGGTGAGTGGCGCTACAGGCTGACCTCTTGTTGAGGTTAGACCTACACTGCCCACGCAGGCCGGCCCAGCAGGAAAACCAACACGGGTCACCCCAGGGATGCCAGGATTCCCTGGGGATGAGTGGCGGTGAGACAGAGGGGCGTCTGGACTCCGTCTGCCTGACGCCTGGTGCCCGTGGCCCCCCTGGCACATCCCGAGTCCCCACCTGTGGGCACAGACACGCACCCGCACGCACATGGCGCACAGCTGAGGACGGAGCAAAGCCGCCGGCCCACTCCTTCCCGTGTTGGGGAACATTCCGAGTCAGCAGCGTGAGTATTTGTAAACACGCAGCAGCACCCCGTCCCTCCCCAGCACTTTCCTTTGGCTTGTGTTCCAGCAAGTGTATCACAGTGGAGGGAGCCGAGACATTGAATCAAACTCCTAGACAAGCTGGTGAAAGTTTCAACAGCTGGAGGCAACATGCTTCTTCACTGACAGAAATAATTTTAAAACCTCCAAAAAAAAAAAGCACATAGTTTAGGGTAATCCGTCAACTCCTAATAGTATGAAGTGAATTAAAATCTGGCAGTGATATGAAAAAAGAAAAAAGAAATCGAGGAGGCCGGGGACAGCTAGTATGGCGGGTAAGGCGACTCACTTGCCTTATATACCCCCCACCAGGGTTCGATCCCCGACATCACATTTGGTCTCCCGAGCCCCACCAGGAGTAAGCCTGGAGCACCACTAGGTGTGGCCCAAAAACAAAGACAAAAGAAAGCAAAAAAAAATAAAAACCAAAAAATGAAACAACAATAACAACAAAACCCAACAAACAAGATGGATTTCACTGAGGCCTGGTCTGTTGTGGGCCCTGCATCTCACATGGGCAACAAACACCCGTGCACAGACACCTCCTGTCCACGCAGCCCCCTGGCCTCCGCTGTGAGCATGCATCCAAGCCGCCTCCTGAGAGGAGCCTGGGAAGGACCGTGGCTCCCGGAAGAAGGCAACTAACTGGCCCTGGGGAGGCGCTGGGCTCTTTCATTCACTCGGCCCCATCACCCAGCATGCTGGAAGGGGCCAGCGCTGGGAACGCAGGGAGATGTGCAGGGAATGATGCTGTTCCCTTCCAATTCTGGTTCAGACCCACAGGTACGGAGCAGCGGGTTCCCAAAGGATGTCCCATGGGTAGGCGGCACGGGCGTGACGGTCAGATGGAGCCCACCAAGTCCTTTCCCAGGCAGCTAAGTAAGCCCCGGGAGACACAGACTATGGGCGGGGGTTGGGGTACCAGAGGCAACTTGGCCTTAGAGACCCTGAGCTTGGGGAACAGCAAACTGGCTCAATCCCAACCTGGGGCTTGTCTGAGGAGCGCAGGCCCGCCAGCCTCTCTGCTTCATGCACACCAGCGGTGAGAACAGGCCCCGCCTTGGTAGGTGGTGAGGCCGGGCCCACCATCTCGCGGAACGGCAGCCCGGGTGCCCCCGCAGGCTCACGCCGGCTGGCCCACTGGGCTCGCACGGGACTTGGCCCACGCCGTTTGCTGATTTCTCACCGCTTCCATATGGGGACTCAAATGTATCTCACATTCCCAATGCCTCACAATAAATCTGTTCCGAAGAACAAACACGTTCGCCTTTTGCGACAGGCACCGAGGAGCCGAGAAGAGTGCGTTCCTTCCCCCAACCCGTCTGGGCACAGAGGCCTGACCGCCTGGAGCCCCCAGTTCTGGCCGCTGAGCAGGGTTTGCCCCACGCCGGGACCCTGCTGCCACACCTCCCTCCAGCGCTGGGGCTCTGGGGAACGAGTCGCCAGGCGTGTGGGGAAAGGCCTCCTACCCTGGCACCCTGAGGGCCTCAGTTCTGGGGACGAGAGCGGCCATCCTTCCAGCCACCCTGAAAGCCAGTCCCCTCCCGCCCACAGCAGGGGCCAAGAGCCCCAGAGGGGAGCAGCCGCTGCCCCACCCCAGCACTGACAGCGGCAGCGGTGAGCTGCTCCAGAAGGCAGAAGCGTCTGTACCTCAATGCTGCTGATGAGCTCTAAGTACCGCAGGTCTTGTACCCTGGTGAAGGCCTAGGAGGAAGGAAGAAAAGAGTCAAATCACCTGCCTTTGGGGCTTCAAAAGCCGGTGATTGGCTGGGGGTGGGAAGTCAAGCTTTAGAACTGAGCCGGGAGGCAAGGAAAGAAGCAAGCACTGATTAATCGCCGCGTGTTTGGGAGGCTTCTACCACCCAGCGAGGCTCGGCTTTATCCCTGGGATTAGTCCCTACAAAGACCTGCAAAACGGTCCGGGCCGCATCCATCACTCTGGGATTAGGTGAAACCAAACCATGCCACTGCAGGCTGCTGGTGCGGCCGGGGAGAAGGGCCAGGCCGACACCCCGCGGCTGCCCCTCGGGAATGGGGTGCGAAGGGGTGCTAAGAGCCTGCGCTTCACCTCGGTGTGGAGAGCGAGGAGTGCACTCTGCTTACCGACAGTGCATAAACAGGCACGCGGGGAGAGGAGGAGGGGAGAGCGGAGAAGGACTAAAGATGGTTTCTGGAAGGAAGGGGGTAGGGAATGAATCACTCCCAGTCCCTGGAAGGCAAACTCTTACGCAAATCCTTAAAGTGCATCTCTTGTCTTGGGCTCATAATAAAGCCAAGACTTTAACCCATTTGCTGCTAGAAGTTTCTTGACGGGCCTCTGCTGGCCAATGATGGAACAAAGCTTCTGGCTCCTTTGGGGCTGTGCAGAGGGTTCAGCAGTGGCCATGCCACCTTGCCGGGCGGGTCCTCCCGTGGCTCTGTTGTTAGCCCCCGCCCCCCCAGCCAGCGGGGCCTCTTCACACTTGCCCTGCTGGACACAGGCACCGGCAGGCCCTGGGGTGCCTTAGAAGGGGAAATGTAGAACCACTTTGGCCTTCCTCCTTCCTAAAAGGATTTGGGGAAATGAGCAAATCCTCCGGCCTCCAGCCTCGCAGACCATCTCAGAGCCTGCGCCGGTGTGATTCCATCTTCATTCCAGGGAGCCAGGCTTTGGAACCAGAGAGGATCATGTCTTGGTCCCTCACCCCCTTTGAAAAGAGTGGGGGAGAGGGTGGGGAGATTAACTAGGACACTGAATCTCACAGGGCTAAAAAAACACACAAGTCTGAGTCCAGCTTGGCCCCGCATCATGGAGCAGAAGCCTGAGAAATGGGTGACTGAGAGGGCGTCCCTGTGGGACAGACAGGTGTTCACGGGCAAGGGAAGAGGACTCAAGGGCCCGTGCTCCAGTGGTGCCGTGCTCTTGCAAGCCACCCGCCAAGAGCTGGGCATCCTGAAGCTGGGAGCCGGAAGCCTGCTCACGGCCCATGGCAGAGGATCCAGGGCACCTTCCCCATCTGGGGTGGAGCTCTGAGACAACCCTGCCGGTCTCTGAATGTCCTTCCTTGCCCCGAGGCTCCCCAGTTTTCCTCTACAGAAACGGGGTACCATCTCCAGCCCTTTCTGGATCAGCTCTGCCAGGAGTCATGGTGGGAGGCTTCTGCTCCCCACTTCCTCCAGCGGGGTGCACTCTGCATCGGGGCAGCCAGGCTGGCGCGGTCAGTCACAAGGCCCTGAGTAACCCGGCAGGAAGAAGTGTGTGCGGGCGAGGAGCTCAGTGGCTCTCCTCTGCCACCTAGTGGGTGCGGGGGTCTATGGTGGGGACCCACCCTCACCTCCATGCCTGCCTGAGTGACTTGGCAAAGCAGAACATGAAAGGACAGGAGGATGTGGCACCTCGATAAAACGATAAAACGAACAAGTTCTAACCTCGGGGCAAAATATTCTGTCTTGAACACAAACGCTTCTACTCCCAAGGTGTGTTTAGAGGGTATGGGTTGGGCAACGGGGTGCTCAGCAAAGGGAGGGTCTTTAGTTTCTATGCTGAACTCCGAGCGCTTCTACAGCACTGAGCAAGGACCACGCGGTCTGCAAGGGAAATTTCCCTCTCATTCCAGCTAAAAGCTAAGAGCAAACAACATCTATTCTAGAAAACCTTTGTTATTCTCCCGCCCTGGAATTTCTGGGTAGGACAGAAGAAGGGAGATTTCTTCTCAGAATTCTTTTTTGTCGCTGTTTTGTTTTTGTCCTCTAGGCCACGCCTGGCACTTCGCAGGGCTTACCCCTGGCTCTGCCACTCCTGGCCGGGCTTGGGAGAACACATGGGGATGCCAGGGATCAAACTGGTTCGGCACCATATAAGGCCCCCTGCTGTACTATAGCTCTGACCCCCCCTTCTCAGAATTTGTGTTTGAGTTTTTTGTCTGCTTACTTGTTAGGGCCCACCCCTGGTGGTGCTCAGGGACTACCCCTGGCTCTCTGGCTTTGTTCTCAGGAAGCTTGGGGAACCATATGCGTTGCTGGGGAGTGCAGCTGGGTTGGCCACATGCAAGGCAAATAAAAGCCTTACCCACTTATCACCCTAGCCCTTCTTTTCAGAATTCTTAACGCTCCTCCAAAACTACTTCTCTGACATGCAGCAGACCCATAAATAGAATAGAAATCATCCTGATAGGATAGTGACTGGACGTTTGGCCAGTGTCTGTCCAGCCCTGGCTCTTCTGACAACCTGGATGCCTTCACGCAGGCATTGCAGTGTGTGATAGCACTGTCCAGTGTTAGGAGGGAGTGTGCACTGTCCCATGTGGGAGGCCAAAGGTCAGATAAGTCTGGGCGCTCTGGTCTAGAGGGAACCCAACGCAGAGACATAGCTGGTATTTTCTAACGTGACATATCCAGCGACTTCTGAGGTTTTGATAGGCCAAGCTACGAAACGACTCCAGAAATTCTGCCAGGAGGGTCTGTGGGCCAGAGTCCTACTGCTGGTTCAGAGAGCTGTGCACCTCATGCTCACACTCTGCAGAGCGCAGAGCAGCAGTGCGGGGCGAGAATTCCATTCACTAATGCCAGCCCGGTGCCAGGCTTTAAACAAGGTGCCCGATGTAAGAAAGGGAGTAGGAGGGTGAGCTAGACTCTTCCAGGTGCTATTCCTGCCTCAGACTCTCCAGGTCTGTGGGCTGCCACTCCATGAGGATGCCTCTTGGTTTGACAACTGAGCAAACTGGGAAAGGCTGAGACAAGCCCAGCTCCAGCTCCGTTAGAGGGGGCTGTGCTGAGATCTAACTCAGGGCAGTCCAATTCCAGAGTCCCTCCCACACTCTGGACACATCACCTGGACTCCCGTCTACCTCCCCTCCCGCTCCCCAAGGGACCTCTGGGCACCAGACGTGCTCAGGCAGACGCACTGCTCACCTTCTTGGCTGTTTCAAACTCTAACCCTTCTAAAGCCTCCATGGCCAACTCGCGCCAGTCGGTGTCCGTCACCCCTAAGCAAGCAATCTGGTAGGCTTCTTTGAACAGTTTCCTGTCCAGGTACTGGTACATTGGCGCTGACTGCAGGGGAGAAGACAACGAAGGCAGGGCTCAGATCAAGGCTAAGAGACACATACAGCTCACTGCACATGCACGCTGACTTCACAGCAAAGGCCTGCAGACCAGCCCTCTCCCCCACGGCCCAGCCCTGCTTCACTGGGCAGCAGCAAACTTCCGGCATGCCCTGTCCTCCACCAGACACAAAGCCAGTGTTGTAGTGACATAGGCAGTGACACTGCCCAAGACTTACAGCTTAGGAGAGGCTTATCTGAGGATGCAGTGACGCCAGACCCCACACTCCTCACTGCGGTGTGTGTGCACAGGAGGCTGACCTGGGCCTGGCTCTTGGGGAAAGAAAGGGCCAACCTCGCCCTGGCCAGGGCCCCCTGGAGCCTTGGGGAGCCGCGTCAGTGCTCGGGGGAGTAAGGGAGAGCAGAGAGTCACCAGCAGTTCCTCTGGCTAATGGCTCCCAAATGTGGAGCAGGAAGTGCTGTTTTCTCCATTTGGGGACTTTCTCTTTGAAATTTCCGGTTTTAGGACTGGAGGCCATTTCTCCCATTGTAAGCCGTCTGTCCTCTAACAGCATGATGTGGACACATTATTATTTTTTAAGTTTTTGGTCACATCCAACGATGTTCAGGGGTCACTCAGGGATTGATCACTCCTGGTGGTACTCAGGGGACTATATGGGATGTCAGGGATCAAACCCGGGTTCAGCCATGCACAAGGCAAGTACTGTACTATCACTTGAGCCCAAGATGTGGACACTTCTAAGAACTGGGGGTGGGTGCATCACCCACCCCACCCTTTCTTCCTTTCTGGGCGAGCAGCGAGCTGGAGCCCAGGCCCTGCTCCTCCCCATCCTAGCTGTGGGCTATGCAGGACTGTAGGCCGTGGGCAGAGAAACGCTCTGCAGATGATTGGGTGAGGGGCAAAAGTGGGCCTGCGCCCGCCTCCTCCCAGCCCTGCTCTCCAGACCACGGGAAGGCACAGCCCCATTCTCCGGGCCACCCGCCTACCCAGGCTTCCCAGGCCTCCGAGGATCAAGTGTCCCCGCTCCCACCCCAGCTCAGTAATGAGCTTTCCTGCTGTGCTCCTTCCCCGGCAGAACTGGGGTTCGCAGTGTTTGCTGTTTTAAGACTGTCGAGGATCAGGGTGGGGTAAGAGCAACAAGAATGATGACAATGACAGGAACTGGGCCAGACGAGCCGTGAAGGTGTGTGGAACAAGGCCCGGCTCGCAGGGAGAGAAGCTGCTTGAGGTCACAGCTGGTTTGAGCAGCAGAGTCCAGCCAGTGCGCCTTCTCCACAGTGCTCAGTGAAGCCTTCGCCACACTGACAGTTCCACAGGGCACAGCAGGGGCCAGCAGGGGCCGCCTGGGGGGCTGGTTCGGGAGGCGCAATCTGAAGAGGGGCTTAGAAATCACCCTGAAGGGCCAGATGCCCACTGAGCTTATCTGCCTCACTGCTGCACCCCTAGCATGAAGTCACCCCCACTCAGAAGGCCGAGCGGAGCCCGCTGCCCTACTTGGCAGCCCGAACCACGGGCTCTTGCACAAGATGATGTAAATCTCGAAAGGAAACCAGAAATCCCCGAGCGGGCCTGCTGCTTTCTCCCGCCTCTCCCGGCCCAAACCACAGGATGGCTGGAGACAGAGGCCACAGAGAAACAGCCTTTGTCTCGAGGTTGCCTTTCCGACCCGGGCAGGCAGCTGCTGCATCAGCAGGAAGGCCTGCAGCCGGGCCGTGGGGGGCTCTGGCGCTGGGCTCCGCAGGACTGGGCAGAGGAAGCTCCCGCCACCCCTCAGGCCCCTCCCGGCCAGCCAAGTCGGGGAGCGGCAGATTGCAGCTTTCTTTGAGGTCAGAACAACAATCTTGGGACTGACGCGCAATCAGGAGAGGCTGTTTGGCACAACTGTGGGAGATGGTTGGGGCTGGAGCGATAGCACAGTGGGTAGGGTGTATGCCTTGCATACGGCTGACCTGGGTTTGATTCCCAGCATGCCATATGGTCCCCAGAGCACCACCAGGAGTAATTCCTGAGTGCAGAGCCGGGAGTAAACCCTGAGCATTGCCAGGTGTGACCCAAAAAGCAAAAGCAAAAAAAAAAAAGACAACTGTGGGAGATGGGGTTTCCGGGTTTCTGGGGGACACAATGTGTGAGTTTGGGATGGGGAACAGATGAGGGTGGCAAGGAAACACTCTGGGTGGGGGTTGGTCTTGTCCCCACCCCACCCCAACCCTCCCCACTTTACTCCTTTCTTCCTCTGCTGATTCCTACCAGCACTTATGGGGTACCTGCTCCATGCCAGAGTTTTCAGAGCCAGGAGAGACTAGGGTATTTGCAGCGTAGAGGAAAAAAGTAAACGCAACCTGGTTCTGGACAAGAAGCCACAGCAGGAAGCGTGCAGGGACACAGACCGTGGGGCCCCCGCCAACGGGCCCAGAACCTGGTGTAGGGTCCTTTCTGGTAGAGGCCTTGGAGGCAGCCAGTGGACTCTACGGAGGCACGAAGCTGACGGGGAGGGAGCAAGGACTCGGCTAGGAAGAAGCTGCCAGCTCCAACAACAGGCAGGCCTCCAGGGCCTCGCGGTCCAGCCACGGCGACTGGCTGCGGACTTGCGGATCATTCGTGTCACAGGACAGGACGCGGTCACGGGGAGTCTGGGAGCCTGGGATGGTTCCCAAGTGATGCTCATGCCTGGCCTGGGTGAAGCTCCAGATTCTGTCACTGACACCAGCACCACAACTAACAACAGGGGCTGAAGAGATAGTACAAGGGGGAAGGCCGGGCATGCAACTGACCCCAGTTTGATCCCCAGCACCGCACGGTTCACTGAGCAGCACCAGTAATGACCCCAGAGCACAGAGCTGGGAGTGGCCGCCTAGAATCAGCCAGGATGGCCCAATCACTCCCCCCAATAATGGTATGGGAATCTGGGGAGATAAGTGGTAGAGCACATGCCCTCATGTTTGTGTGTGTGTGTGTGTGTGTGTGTGTGTGTGTGTGGCCCCAAGTTTGATCCCTGGTACTTTGGGGTCCCCTGAGCAATGCTGGGTGTGATCCCAGGAAAAAATGATGGTCAGCACTTACTCTGGCTCCTAGGGATCTGCGCTCAGGGATCACTCCTGGTAGGGCTCAGGGGAACACATGGGCTGCCAAGGATGGAACCCAGGTCAGCCCTGCGAGGCAAGCACTCTGCCCATAGGACTGTCTCTGTCTTTCTCTCTCTCTCTCTCTCTTTCTCCCCTCAGGAGCTTTTCTTCCTCTGGTTTGCCCACAGACAGCATGGGGGGTAGCTGGTCAAGTGGTCGCAGGGGCCTCTGGCCACACCCTGTCCCTCTCTCTGTCTAAAGGCTGATGTCCCCCCTGCCCGGCTCTCCTTTCTGGCAGTGGTACAGTGCCCAGAGGAGCAGCAGGTCCCAGCTCGAGGCCAGCTGTGCCTACATTGCCATGTTTCTGCCCTGGCCCCTACACTCCGGTGCCCCAATTCTGTCCTAGTCTCATTTCGGGGTGCTTTCAGCTCTCTCTTTGGTTCAGCCTTCAGCCCCCAGACCCCATGCCACCCATGACCTTTGATTCTCTCACACTCCCCTTCCTGTGTCCAGTCTGCCAGGCTCCCCACTGTGCACCCCCATGCACGGCACTCAGTGAAACCCGACAGACACCCCCATACAGCCCTCCCGTCCTTGCCAGGAGCAAGGGAGCCCGAGAGTTCAGCAAAGCTGCACTGCAGGCTCGTGGCAGACATGGAGGCTGAGGCTCCCCCCAAAGTTCCAGCGAGGAGCTGAGCTCTCGGGGTGTGTCAGGCCCCCCGGGTTACCTGCGGCACCTCCACAGCGGACATGGAGAAGACGTGGAGACAGAAGATCTTGGAGCCGTTGTAGCCCACCACGAAGCCCTGCAGCTTCTGCTGGTGCACGGGGAAGGTGCTGGCCTTGATGTTGAGGTGGCCCCCGCCCGAGAAGCACAGCATGTCCTCACACTGCGTGTTCCAGGCCACGCTGTTGGCGTTGGGCTCCTGGGGGACGGGGATGGCGAGGAGGCTGTGACGAACAGCCTGGGAATCCGCTCTCCCCCGCCCCAAGCCCCACTCACGTCCTTCCAAAGCCTGAATCACACTCACTGGTGAACAGCGGGATGGAGAGACTGGGAGGAAGGGGCAGGGGTGTCTGGAAGAAAGGGCTGGAGGGGCAGAGGCAAGCTCCTCTGGGCTCTGGGCAGGCTGGCGCTTCCGACTAAGCCAGAACAGGAGCTCCAAATAGTCGCAACTAGACGATGAGTCGCAACTAGACGGCGATGCGGCCCCTGCCACTAAAGCATGTCCACGGCCAAGCGGTGAGGCTGAAGGGCAGCACATCACAGACTAACAGTGATGGTCTCTGGGAGGCCTGAACCATGTTTGCTCTTTATTTTCTAGATTTTCTTTCTTTTGGGGGGAGGGATGGGGAGCTATGAATTGTTTTTTATATAATAAGAAAAAGAACAGTGGGTTATTTTTAAAATTAGAAAATAATACATTGTCTCTGCATTCGCCATTCACACACTGTGGAAACACAGTCCCCCGGAGGGGGCAACCCCCTCCCTTTCCCACCTCCTCTCAAAGTGTCTGGCGGGTTCTCAGCCCAGGCCGCACACGCACCCCTGTGCTCCGGGTCTTCCCCAAGGTCTCCTCTCTGACTGTGGGCACGGAAAATGGAAAACGATGCAGCTGTTTGCATCTGCAGGGGCGGAGCGAAAAGGAACACCACTGTCGCCGAGAGATAGAGGGAATGTTTATGTCTCCGGATAAGGCTGGCGTTACCGTCCCGCCTCTGTAGAGCCACAGCGGGGACCGGAAAGGAAACACAGCACACACACCCCCTCCCACGACAGTGCTCGCAGCCAGGGCTAAGGTGTAGGAGAAGTCATGTTTGGGGACCTAGGTCGTGCCACGCACTAAGCACGAGGCATGGTGGCATGTTGTTCAGTCTTGTGGCAATCTGGAGGGGCAAGAACTGGAATCATTTGAGAGAGAGAGAGAGAGAGAGAGAGAGAGAGAGAGAGAGAGAGAGAGAGAGAGGAGTGGCCCAGAGAGCTGTGCTACGAGGTGGGGGTCACCCGGTAGACAGCATGGAGGGGCCTGTCTGCAGGGCCTGGTGTCCTTCCTCCTGCATCTGCTTCCCCAGAGCGAGAGGCTCTCATGCCACTGACGGGGGTGGCCCCTTCTGCTAAGCCCCCACCCAACCCCTAGAGGAGCTCCAGAGGGCCTGGGTCTGTCTGTCGTCACCTCCTAAGGTGGCGAGTCTAAGGGGCCATCGGTTTCCGGGCGGCCTGCCTGCTTCCCAAGGCCCCCAGAGGCCCGTATGGTACTGAATCCTGCAGAGGCCCGGGGGTGGGGCTCTCTTCCCTCCCACCACAGACCAAATAGGGAGTTAATCGGCACCCCCAAAGTTCACCTCCTGCTGCTCATACATCCATGTGAAACAAAGAGCAGAGGTGGGGAGGGGAGATGCTGGGTGCACCACACGGTCCCACAGAGTTTCTGGGAAAGACCCTCAACACAGAGCCCTGCAGGGCGTGGCCCCAGAATAAACAAACAGCACAGGGCCCTTCCCCGGCTTCTTTCTAGGTCTAAACCGCTGGAGCTCACTCACAGGCCTTTCCCACATCTTCTCCTTCCTCACATCATCCGGCACAGACGCCCAGGACATGCACTGACTGAGGTCTCCTGTCCCCACTGAGGCCCATAAGGAACATGACGCCTGCACAGCCCACTTCCAAGGCACCAAGGTTCAGAGAGGCTCGTCCAGTTCCAACAGCTGAGAGGGGTGGGAGGGGGGCAGGCTGTGTCCCGGGGTTTCTTGCATCCCCCCACACCCCTCCAACTCCAGGGCCCTCTCCCTGCTGCATCCTCCTTTCTCCCAGACCAGCACTCTCCTTCCAGAGAGCACCTGGCCGGGGAGCAGGGACGGCTGGAGACAAGCCCCCACGGAGGGCCCATCAGCCCCTCGTCAGCCCCTCAGCCACACCTGGAAAAGCAGCTCCTTGGTGTGGATGTCATACACCAGACACGTGTCGTTCTCGTCCACTACAGCCAGCTTGTTGCGGGAGGCGCTCATGTCCAAGCAGCGCACAGCCGTGGCCTGCTTCAGCAGGACGATAGCAAAGAGATTGTCCACGAAGATCTTCAGGATCTGGCGGAATTTCAGAGAGAAAGTGTGAGTTACCATGGTAACGAGAGCCTGGCCCAGTGCCAAGCATCGGAAGGCAACTGTGTTCCACAGGCATGACTGGCACCAACTTCACCAGAGCCTCTACTCAGAGGATACACACATCCAAAGAACGAGGCGAGGCTGATCCCAGGTGACCAGGAGGGGCACATACGAGGTCACCAAGGTAAGGACAGGGTCCAGGGCAAAAGCCCCTCACTAGACTATGGAAGGACTTGATAAAAACACAACCCAAACCTGGGCTAATAAGAGATAACATTTATGGGGTCAGAGTGGCAGTATAGTGTGTAGGGCATTTGCCTTGCACGTGGCCAACCCAAGTTAAACCCCCAGCATCCCATATGGCCCCCTGAGCACTGCCAGGAACAATTCCTAAGTGAAGAGCCAGGAGTAACCCTTGAGTAGCACTGGGTGTGACCCCAAAAAAATTTTTTTTAAAAAAAAGGAAAAGAGAAAGACCATTAATAAAATTTTCATCACAAACACCCAGGAAGAGGGTTCAGAGCAATAGTTCAGCGGGGAAGGCATTTTCCTTGCACACAACTGGTATTTTCCTTGCACACAGTTGACCCAGGTTCAATCCCCAGCACCCCATACAGCCTCCGCCCCCCCACTCCCCGCCCCGGGCACTGTCAGGAGTGATTCCTGAGTGCAGAGTCAGGAGTAAGCCTGAGCATTGCCGGTTGTGGACTCCAAATGAAACAAAAAACACCCAGGAAGAGCCTACTGTAACACAGTGTCCCCAGGCAGCCACCGGGCTGGGCCGGCTGTCGGTTCTAGGAAGCCCTGGGACATTGTGAACCTTGAGAGGCAGCATGCCCTGCCCCAGGCCCCCAGAGCCAGTGAGAGACTGCCCCCACTTCCCAGTCCCCAAGCCCAGGCTCTCAGGCCTCGTGCTAGAAGTGACCACAGACGGAGAAAGCAGCAGGCGATGGTCCCCCCCCCTCTGCTGTGGCGACTCTCCGGCCCCACTAATCTCGTATTCTGTGACTTCCGTCCCCAGGAAGGGATGACAAGCCTTAGCCACAGCCATCTGCTACACAGCTTGGCTCGCAGACTAATGCAGTTAGATTTGCACTTTCAAATTTCCATGTAGCCGGATCTCTTAGAACTTTTCTTATTTTGAACAAAGAACATAGGGAAGAACCTGATTCACTTGTATAACCTGAATTTTCCCCAGCTCCTTGACAAGGGTTCACTGCTCTAGGAATAGACCGAGCTAAAAACACGACTGACACCAGAAGGGCCCATGCGTCAGGGTGGCACAGACAGCAGTCTTGCAACAGGCCGAGGTGCGGCGGGAGCTGTCCTCCCCAAAGCAAACACACACGTGCCCGTGCCCTGTGGGGGTCTTCACCTGCCTGCAGGCAGGCACTGGGCAGCTGGACCCGAGGGGCTACTCACCTGTCCATTCTTCAGGCCCACTAACAGGCCTTCCCTGCCCGGAGGGCCACCGATGACCTTGATGTAGCGAATGAGAGACTCCATCTGCCACTCGCGCTCCTTCACTCCACGGAAGGACAGACACTGCAGACGCTTCTCCTAGAGCACAGAGTAGCCCGTCACTGGGACAGTGGTGGGCACACCCAGCCCTCCCGGCCTTCCCGCACCTTGCCAGTCCTGGGACAAGTCTTCTCCAAGGAGCCCAGCTCAGTCTTGGGGCTCTGGGGAGACCCCTGGCCCTGTGCCAAAGCATGCCTATATGGTTACCTCTTTCTAGGACCCTACACTGCTTGAACTTCCACAACTTACTTTTTTTAAAATGCACTTTTGGAAATTGGCTTTTATGGATTTATTTTCTGAGAATCCCCCTTGCTGTTCCTTTAAGTTTTGCTGGAGCAAGTAATATAAAGTAAATTTGTTATGTGCCTAATAAGGGGGCAGGCTGGGGGTGGGGGGAGGGAAACGGGGTACAGAGGTTGAGGTAAGTCACATTGATGGTGGAATTGGTGTTGGACATTGTATGCTTGAAACAACTGTATTATAAAAAATTTTGTATACCATGGTGTTTTAATCAAAAATTTATTTTAAAAAAATGCATCTCTGGGGTGAGAGAGATAGTTAGGGGATAAGGCTGGAATCCCTGCACCTCATGGGGTTTCCCAGGTACTGCCAGGGTCCACTCCTAAACACAGATCGAGGAGTAGCCCCCAAGTATCCCCACTGTAGCCCAAAGCCCCTGGGGAGGGGGTAGGTACATTTGTCTTGGGGGGCAGGGAGACACCTCAGTGATCAGGGACCCAGGTTTGATTCCCAGCACATATCCCCCCACACCCCCGGCTCAACCCCAACACTCCTGGGCCCAAGCAGCACCATAACATCAGGCCCAAGTATCGAACTAACTAGCTAGTTGGTCAACTAATGCCAAAAGTAGTCCCCAACCCCTGGGCACAGCTTGGTAACCCCCCACCCCATTAAAATGCATTTTTCTTGAGATTTCTTTCTTTTTTCAGGAAGGACATTCCCTGGGGGTAGGGGTACCACTGGTGGTACCCAAGCTGAGATCTTCTTTTTGTTCCCGACCTCCCTCTGCTGCTGATACCCTGGGGCTGCACACTGTTGCCATATTGGAGGTCACACATTTAGTGCAGAGGCTGTAGAGTATTAGGGCACACGTCTAGGCAGAGATCAAAGCCAGGGCCTCCCACTGCAAGGCAGGTACCCTACTATGGAGTCACACTCTTGGCCCTTCATTTTTTTATACAATGGCTGGAGCGATAGCACAGCAGGTAGGGTGTTTGCCTTGCACGCGGCCAACCTGGGTTCGATTCCTCCGCCCCTCTCGGAGAACCCGGGAAGCTACCGAGAGTATCCCACCCCCACGGCAGAGCCTGGCAAGCTCCCCGTGGTGTATTTGATATTCCAAAAACAGTAACAATAAGTCTCACAATGGAGACGTTACTGGTGCCCGCTCGAGCAAATGGATGAACAACGGGAGGACAGTGCTACAGTGCTATGGTGATTCCCACGAGATTTCTTTGCGTCTGCCATAGAGGCAGGCAGGGGGTAGGGTGTGGGGGATGATGGGAGGGAACCTGGGGACACTGGTGCTGGGAAACGTACACTGGTGGAAGGATGTGTTGGAACACTGTATGACTGAAACCTAATCATGAACAGCTTTGTAAGGGTCTATCTCACAGTGATTCAATAAAAAAGTTTAAAAACAAGATTTCTTTTATCTTATCACTTCCAATAGGCCAAGTTTTGTGAAACAAATAAATCCCTGTTTCTGGGAAACCAGCTGGGCTGGTCTTTACTCAGAATCTTTCCAAACTCCTCTTGGCATCAACCTAAACATTTTTTTTTCGGTGGGGGGGAGTGGTGATGGTGTGGGGTTAGAGGAGATTTGGGCTCAGGGCTTACTACTGGCTCTGCGCTCAGGGATCACTCCTGTCAGGGCTTGGAGAAATATATACGGTGCCGGGGATTGACTGTCTGCAAGCCACGTGCAAGCCAAGTGCCTTACTCTCTGTACTGATCTAGACATTTTCTAGGAAACACTAAGTTGTGACTTCTTTTCTGTGAAAAAATAAAACTTTTCAGGAAATAAAACTTCCTTTACTATTTTTTTCTTGTTGGTTAAGTAAAATCATAAATTTTTATATATCTATTTACTAAAAAGAAGAATCAATCTTCTTTCAGGGGATATAAATGTACGCTTCAAGTGTTTCAGATCTATCATCTCAGTACAACAGAGTGCTTTGTTATACAAAAATCTTTATGGCCCAGGATGTTTTGGTCGAGTCTGACTCACTGAGCTATCAATCAAAGGAAAGCCAGGAATAGCCTGAGTGTTCGGGGCAGAGACTGCATCCCAGGGAGTGGATGGGGCAGCAGGAGCTGGGCGCCTCCTCCCCAAGGGGCGTAGCAGGCAGGTTCAGCCGCGTCCCTCCCAAACCGCCACTGCCCACCTGGCACAGGATGATGTGGTCAGCACACACCACCAGGAGGTTGCATTCAAACTTCTTGACAATCTTCTCCTTCACCCGGTAATGCATGTCTGACGAATCATCGGAATACAACTCATAGATGAGAATCTTCTCCGGCAGTTGGATAGCTAATCGATTTTTGTAGATGGCAATTTTCTTGACAAGCTCTTTGCATTTAATCCGAACTGTCAAAGAAAAAATAAAATTCAGCGCTAGCAAGAGGTTGTTAAGTAAGGTAGATGGCAGAGAAATTAAAAGCTATCATTTACTTAATGCTATTGGCAATTAAAGTGAGACACTTTCATCAAAGTCTCTTTACAGTGTGTCTGATATGCACAATCAGCTCTGCTAAACATGGGAGCCCGCATCAGAGACAGTCTCTGTGGTCCGAAGCACAGAAAATAAAACCCTCAGTGCTCATCCCATCACTTGCTGAGTATAAATTTAAACCCCTCTACATGGCAGTAATGGCCCTGCTTGATCAATCAGGAGCCTGCCTGCCTGTCCACTGCGAGGCTGCCCACACCGCTGGCCACTCCCCGCGCACCACTCCGGACAAAAGGAATGGCAGGTCGTGTCGGGTCCATTCTCACCCTCTCACAGGGAGGCTGCACCCGCACCAACACCACCGTTCCATATGGGGCCCTGAGAGCCATCAAACTCTCAAGTAGGCTCCTACCTCGGCCCCCAGCTGGCAGGGAGACTTCCAGGAAGGGGGCCCGTGGCCTTTCCAGCCACCACTTGGCCAGAGGCAGCAGCTGGGCTATGGGCTAACTGCACTCAGCGTGGATCCAGAACCTTCTGACCAAGCCTACGTGTTCTCGTGTCTCCCCAGGGTCAGGGCCCGCCAGGAGCCAAGTGCAGCAGGAGTGAGAGAGCAGCACACAGGAGTGACTCTCCACACTCTCCACGCTGGAGGGCCGTGGACGCCCGGCAGGACGGCCACCCTGCCTCTGACCTGCTCTGAAGGACTTTCCCTGAATCAGGACATCCCTGCTCCCCTGAAATGAAGTACCAACTGTTGTCCTCTGACTCATGGCTGCTTCTGGAGAAAGGCTGAGCCTGCTCATCCATTCGGACCCTGTCAAAGATAACTCATGATCAAGTCTTGAGAGGTGCACCTAGACAGGGCCCAGAGGGTGCCCCACAGATCTACATGCCCATTCTCACCATCCCACCCCACAAAGCAAGAAGTAGGGTCTAACGTGTTTAAGGAGAGACCCTTCTCATCACCCCCCTATGTCTCCAGGACAAGGGCTCACTCCTGCCTTTACCTTTCTGTTCAGTGATCAGGTGCTGCACGATGACGTCAGTCATGCTGTCCCTGTAGGCATAGCGGTCCTTGTAGAGCCCATGGACGGTGCTGAAAATAAGTTGGTAAAAGGAAATGGTGCCGTCCTGACAGCCGACCACCTGTCGGGAAAGAGCTGGTCATGCCCCGCGCTCCGGGAGATGCCAAGCGCAGCTGCCCACTGTCAGGATGCAGTAAGAGCCAGGGCCCACGGAATAAACATCTTACCACATAGTTCGAATCGGGTTTCGCTTTACATGTCCACACCCAGGAATTTTGTTCCCCCACGGTCCCAAGCCGCACTCCATCCTTGGTGAAAAGGGATACTTGCTTGTCCGACCCCCCTAACAAAATGTATTCCCCTTTAGTAAAGTAGCTGATGCAGCAGGGGTCAAAGTTCAGCGGGCGGTCCTTCCCAATCTGCAGAAAGAGCACACACACCAGGGGAAGACCACTTTGGAACGCATGATCGCAACAGAATTAAGGGCCCCACGAGGTGGGAGGGGAGTAGTTGGGAGAGGAGAGAGAATTGGCCAGCTTGTTTCCGTGGGAACTCGCCTCCTCCAGGGTGTCCAACCTGCGACACCTTTCTCCCAACGAGGCCTCGTGTGCAAGGGGTCTTGCCAGGGAGGTTCCACGGGTCCCCAGACTTTTTTCCTTTTTAGTATTTCACAAAGCTAAATTTATTCTGTTTTTAAAAGTTGTCCTATATTCTAAATGACATCCATCTTACTTCTAATAGGAACCTAACTGTTGAGATATATTCACGGACCTTATAATTCACTCATTTAATGGGTGTAGTTAATTGGCTTTTAATACAGTCAGAATCTTAGAAACATCATCACTGATTTCAAAATATTTCCATCTTCTCAGGGAGAAAATTCATACCTGTGAGCAGTCACTACCAATTCCTAATCTACTAATATCTGTTTTGAAGCTCTGGAGTGGCCTGTCTGAGACACAGACCTTTCCTAGCCGTGGAATTGGGAAAGGGCCTTGTGACTGGTCCATCCATTTTTCTCACGAATCAGTACTTCCCTCCATTGTATGGCTGAATCAGTCCACTTAAAGGGGGGGGGGGGGGCTGCAGGGGTCACAGAGTATTTTTTTCCTTTTTATTTTATTCTCTTTCATTCCATTGTATTCTATAGTAGAGACTTTTGCATTCTAGATACAAGTCCCTTATCAACATTTGGTTTGCAAAAATTCCCTCCCATTCTGCGGGACATCTTGTCACTTTCGATGGGGTTCCCTCAATTTCAGAACAAAGGTCAAAGGTCAGAGATACAGCTCAGTAGGTTTTTGAGTATGGGGGTGGAGAGAGTGCCACCCAGGACCACAGACCACAGACCACAGACCAGGAAAGTGCTCTATTGCACAACTACCTCCCCTGCGGACACTGTTATCTTTTCTATAGTCCACTGTGAAACAACCAACAGTTAGACAAGGTAGGAGAAGTGGCCCCAGAACCAGGCTCCCTTCTGCTCAAACTGTTTGAGGACCGAGGATGCTGGTGAGAGAAAGCCTCCTTGAACAGGCAGATTTCTCACTGTGTGGCCGTGGCACTGAAGCCATCCATTATTTCCACTCCACTCTATTCCCCTGCCCCTCCTGATGTACCCTTCTCAGAAGCAAGGACTTCTCCAGAAACAGGGCCCTGACCACATCCTCCTCACCGAAATCTGAATACTAGAGAGATGGGAATGTCCTCTACTTATTCAGATGAGTCAGGGTCTTTACAACCAGGACCCCAGTTTCATTCCCAGCTCTAGCTTTTGCTCAAAAATCCTGGGACAGGGCCAGAGAGACAGTACAAGGATTAAGGTGTTTGCCATGCACACCTCCAACCCCAGCTGGAGCCCTGACACCAGACACAGACCCTGGGCACAGAGCCAAGACCCACTAGGTGGCCCAAAACTCCCTCCTCTCCCACTCCCCCCAAAGAATCCTGGGTTTAGTCACCTGAACATCTGTCCCTTCCACCGTCCCACATTGTCACTCCTTCCTGCCTTCGCAGATGTTACTTCCGCTGCCTGAAGCACTTCCTGATGTCCTCTGAGCCAATCCTGAGATTACTCAAAGGTCACTCTACAGAACCGCTGTCCCAAGCAAATACTGAAGTCACCCCCATTTTACGCCTTCCCCTTCCCCTTGTTGGGGTGCTGGCGATGACTGGGGGTTGCACATTTGGCTGTGGTACTCACCAAGGTTTAGATATAATCCTTTATTTTTGGTTTTGGGGTCACACCTAAATCCAGCAGTGTCCATGAGTCTTCTGCTCGAGAGTCATCCCCAGGGGTGCTGGGGAATCATGTGATCCCAGGAGATCCAGCCTGGGGCTTTCTGGGACTCCTGCCCTCTGAGCCATCTCCCCAGCCTATAAGCTTTGGGGTTAGGTCACCAGCGGCCATGATACAGCAGGAGTAGAGGTGTGGAGTAACAGGTCATTTTAAATCTCTGCCCATGGGGTAGCCCATCAGAATGTAGAATGGGAGGGCTGGGGGTGGGATTTGGTAGCAGATAAAAGGAAGCCCCCAGCCCCATCTCTCTCCCCCTCGCTCTCTGGACTCTCTCTTCTCTCCCCAGATCATGTAGGTGCACAGACACGGGGCCCTACATGATCAGGCAGCCACTCAGGGCCACTCAGGGGCAGGATACAGGCAGGCCTCAGATGCCGAGCACAGGCGTCTCACCCACGTAAAGGTGGCCAGAGACTGGGAAAGCCGGGACAAGACGACAGGAACTGCTGGAATAGAGCTGTGAGGTCAGGGACAGGTACGAAGCACAGGGATGTCTGTCACCCACACGCATGTGCCAGGGAGTCTGGGACAAGTACACAGGACAGAGAGCAGCGCAAGGACAGGACCTGGCCGCCATTCATGGAAGGCAAAGAGACCGCGTGGGACAAGACAGGGAAGGCGTTCACAGGGCTGGGCAGTGACAGGGACAGGACTGGTGATGCCCACAGGTAAAGGGGAGGCCTGGACATCTGGGGAGGGACCCGGACCCACTGACCTTTTCTGTACAATAAACTAACTTTCAATCTTCCAAGATTTGTCTGCAAATCTACACAGGAAAATTTGCAGGAAAATTTATGGTCACACAGACTGTACTGCGGGTGTCCAGGAGTGGCCCCTTAGAGTGGTGCTCACACTCTGAGAGTGGGCAGCCCATTGCGGCGGTAGATAGCGACAGCAGATAGCGGCTGCCCAGCTCCAACAGCACGACTGCTGCAATCATGCTCAATGCATGTCGGGTACCGGGGATGCGAACTCGTGACCAAATGCTGGAGAAGCAGGCACCTGCAGCTTCTCCCTCTTTGCAGCCACCCCTGTCTACTGGCACAGCTGTGACCCTGCATGCTGCTCAGGGGTCGCTGGTGATGCAGGCTCCAGAGCAGAGGCAGTAGCTCACACAGCCCTAATCTGTTGCTCCTGAGACAGCGAGGGGCTGGCTCACATGAGTGCTCATGAATGTGTGTAGAGCAAGCACAGCAAACACCAGAAGCAGGTGACAGCAAAGGCTCTAGGGATGGGCGGACTGGTCCCAGTTCCCAACACCATGGCTGACTCGCTGGCTGACCTTAGCACTGGATTTCCCTTCTCTGAGTCTTGTCTGCTCATTTTTACACCACTGGTAAGAAACGTGCTCCCAGGCCTGAAGCTATGATGGAGCAGGTACAGTGTATGCCTTGCATGTAGCTGACCCGGACCTGATCTCTACCACGCCATAAAATTCGCCCCTCCCCACTAGGAGTGACCTAAGCATAGAGCCAGGAGTAAGTCCTGAGCACTGTCAGGTGGGCCCAGTGCCCCCTGACCCTGCCAATACAAAGTACTCCCAGGTTTTATAAGAATTCACCAAGGTCGAACTCACAAAGCACTGAGCACAGAGAAAGTTCAATAAGCCGGGCTAGCGAGAACATGGTATGAACCCTAGAAGACTGTGTCAGAATGTGAAATCTGAAAAAACACTCTCACAGGGAGCCAGAGACATAGGACAGTGAGGAGGGCTTTTGCCTTGCACGCAGTGGATCCAGATTCGATCCCTGGCATCCCATATGGTCCCCCGAGTTTTCCCAGGAGGGATTCCTGAGTTCAGAGCCAGGAGTAACCCCTGAGCACCACCAGGTATGGCCCCCAAACAAAAACAAACCAAAACACAACATTCACAGGCTTCTCCCAGGGTGTCTGGACAGACAACATACCTGCTTTCCGCTCAGCTGGTAGAAGGAAAGTTTCTGCCCCCAGTCAGCCACGGCCAGGATGTCATTACGTTCCTCTCTAATCAACAGAAGACAAAGGAGGTTACGTGGGGGCACGGTCTGCTTAGGAGTTAGCCCTAAAAGTTTAACAAACAACAGGAAAGAGAAAGCCCTGGCCAGGCTGTCAGGTTGCCAAATGTACAGTTGTACGGAGGCCAAGCTGCCAATCAGTGGGTGGTAAGGCGAAGTGCGGGCGCCCTCTGGGAGCTGTTCTCCCACTGACCCCACTCCTGAGAGCTTGTGGAACCTAATGAATCCACAAGGAAGAGGACAAACCCCACATTTCACAGCTTCCTGGGGAGCAGCGGAAGAAAGAGCAAGGCTGTAGATCCAAGAGCACTTTTTCCAACAAACTGTAAACAGTGGGAGATGGTGGAGCAATGTGTCTCGTGCAGATAATGTGTTAGATATTTTTCATGAGATTGCTTACTCCTCCTGCGAAGGGAAAAGTAACACCTCAAACTGGGTCTCTCGGGGAGCAAATAGTTGCTAATGAAATTCATCTGAGAGAACAGGGGCTCTCTGGAGACGGCCACTCTCTGAGACGGAGCCTTTCTAGATCGTGTCTGGAGGATGGGCGCAGGGGCCAGCAAAGGGAAAATCTCCTCCACTGAGGCAGGGCTCAGGCCGCACAGCGACCAAACTCGAGCTCTCATGACCTGGAATCCATCAGCAGTCGCATCTTCTTACTGACTCAGGGTCATCGAGCCCAGAGCGGCATCATCAGACAGGCAGTCTAGCCTGGTGCAGCCAAGAGCAGCAAAGCCGCTGACGCCATAGTCACAGACACAAAAAGAAGGGGAGAGACAGAAGAGGATGAGAGCAGGGAGAAGCCCACCCGTGAGCTTCGCACCGGGGCTAAAAGAAGAGATTAGGCCCTTGACTTGCACGCAGTCAAGCAGGGTTGGATCCCCAGCACTGCCATGAGTGAGGCCTGAGCAGAGTGAGGAGTAAGCCCTCAGGAGTACAATGAAGATAAAGGGGCTGCTCTGGTAGCAGCAAGCCTGGAGACTGACGCCTGTCCCTGCCTTGTTTCCTCATTGCCCACTCCCCCCCCCACCTCCTTCTCCCAAGGAACCCTGGAAACCACTTGAGACAGGCTGGAAAGAATCCTGGCTTGGGGTTGGAGAGAGAGTGCAGCAGATAAGGCGCTTGCTTTGCACACAGCTGACTCACAGACGGTCCTCCTAGGCCTGCCAGGAGTGATCCCTGAGCGCAGAGTCGAGAGTTAACCCTGAGCACAGCCGGGTGTGGCTCCAAAACAAAACCAAAACACAAAACCAAGCAACAACAATGAAAAAGACAATCCTGGCTTGCCACCAGAGAAAAAGAACACATGGCCGGGATCTCTCTCGTGGTGAGGACAGGGGTAAGGTGAGGGCTTCTCTCAGACTGCCTGGGCAGATGCAGGAAGGGTCAGTGGGGTACGGGCTGAGAGAACTGAAGCATGGGCATCCCTGCCAGGACATGCACTAAAATCATGTTTCTAAATCAGAGACTAAAATCATGTTTTTCTAACAACTTCTAATGTTATTAGAAAGCATCCACTCTAGGAAGTTAAGTGGGAAAAAAATAAGAGCAGGATGTAATTTAATTAACTGAGTAAAGACACTAAATGGGTTGGAGATACAGAACAGAAGGGAGGACACAGCCTTAAACACAGCCAAGCCTGGTAACATACCACCGTCCCATACAGTTCCCTGAGCCCCACCAGGAGTAATTCCTGAGTGCAGAGCCAGGAGTGATCCCTGAGCATCACTGGATATGGCCCAAAACCAAAATGAACAACAAAAAAAAAAATTCTAAGAGTAATTTCCTCGAGAGATGAGAACTTGAAGAAAAGCTGAACTTTCTCTTTTGACTTTTCAGTCTCTCGGAGACTCTCAAAGGGACATTTTATGACCCAAATGCAGGTTGCAGTGCTCACCAACAGCTCCTGGGGCCCTCTTGGCAAGGAACTCCAGAGTGGCATCAGCCCAAGGCGGTCGGGCGGGGGCCTGGGCCCTCCCACGAGCCCTCGCTCCTCACTCAGGTCACTCACAAGTAGTCGTCCCTGGGACAGGCGTCCTCTTCCTCTGGCTCCTCCTCTGCCTCACTACCCTGACTAGAGTACACTGTTGATGGCAGAATGGAAGGAATTTCCTGAAAGTATCTGTTGACAATGTCTTCCTCGGTATCCTCGTTCTCTCTGTTCATCCAGAAATTCTCCCAACGGCTGTAGGCAGTAAGTGGTGGTTCACAATTACAATACCTAGAACTACACTGAAGCTATCACTTCCGAGCCTGCCAAGGAGCCCCTGAACCCTGCCCGGAAGAGGACAGCAACCAGGTGCACTGGGCATCCTGCTTCTCATGAATTAAAAATGGTACCTTGAAGCCACAGACTCTTCTGCGGCCACAAAATCAAACAGCAGGAACTCGGGGGTAGACTAATGGCCTCCGAAGGCATTAGGCATGCATGGTCCAGCTCTGGGCTGGACAAAATTGGTCAGGAAGAAGCATAATAATCTGGTGTAGAAATGGCAATGGAATTAAACCACCTTCTAAATCAAGTAGGCACCACCTGCAAAATGACATTGGGCTGGAAAACAATTAAGTCCTTCAATTTACTTTCAGAGGACTCAGTGGGGGTTAGTGGTGACTTAATAGCATTAGAGGATCATCAGAGCACTGACAACATGAATAGCAGTAGAGCAGGGGAACCTACAGTTAGCCCTCAGAGTCACGTGGGCATGGAGAGTATATGTGAGTTTGAGAAGGGCGTTGCTAATTGTTTGTGGAACTCTAGGCTCTGGGGACCCTAGTAGACTTAATTTTGACTTTGCAACAACAGCAAAAAGGCTCCCAGAAAACCCATTCGTTATTGGGTGGTTACAGGCTCTGCCCAGACATGGAGGGAAGAACTGGGAAAGGGAAAGACCAAAATAAAGCCACAGCAAAGAGGTGAGCTATAATTAATAAGGAATGGCCCACAAACACACACACGCGTGCGCACTCACTCTCCTCTCGCTTGCTTGCTCACTCCCTTTCTGAGCTGGCCTATATAGCTCATCTGTTTAGCTAAATCTCTGGGATTCATTCCAAAGCACAAGCTGGGCTCTCTAAAAATCCCATTCTAATGGAACAGGTTCCCAGCCAAGTCAGTCAAGTGGCGTGAAAAGCCTCTGGATGCACGGAGAGCTCAGGGGAGAGCACGGCTCGTGCAGCAGCCCTGCCCCCGACAGGGTTTGCCCAAGAGGGAGGAGGAGGCACCTGGAAGGGTTCCAGCTCATGGACCATATCGAGGAGTGCGAGCCCCCCGGCCGCTCGATCTTGACTTTCTCCTCCCCGTTTTTGTTCCGTATGCTGATGATTCCATTGAACATGCCCAGAGCCAGGTACTGACCATCATTTGTCCAGCTGTTTGGAGGAAAAGGAACACACATGAGGTGACCCTGGGAGAATGTCTCGGTTGAAACACAGCCCGATAAGGCAGATGCAAACCCATCCTGGGCCTGATATAAAAATCACAAGACCAAGTTTACGGTTCCATTGGGGAGTTGGAGCAATAGGACAGGGGGACAGGGATCTTGCCTTGCAAGTGGTCAACCCAGGTTTGATCCCTGGTACCCCATATGGTCCCTTGAGCACCTCCAGGAGACATTCCTGAGTGCAGAGGCAGGAGTAAGCCCTGAGCACTGCTGGGCCTGGCCCAAAAATCAAACAAATAAATAAAATCCCATTAGTTTCTACATTCATGGTGAGGGCATCTTTTCCCCAGGCTCTTGGTTCTCTGTTCATGCATACCTCCAGTCAGCCCTGGGCTGTGCCAGCATCCCTGGGCCAGCCTCCAGCCCCTCACCATCCCGCCTCTCCCACTGCGAGAGCACCTGAAAATAGATTCTGCCATGGTGCACCCCTGCCTTGAGAACAGATGCACGCTGAGCGCTGAGGGAAAAAAAGGCTGGACTCAGACTCCGAGTCGCAGACCAGTTTTCTCTTTTGGCACCCAGCAGGCGCCAGACACTGTGCGTGTGTCTACTGTCATGCGTGCACGTGCACTTCATAACAGCTCAATGAGTCCGTATTTTGACCCCCATTTGTCAAACAGGGAACCAGGGGACCCAACTCTGAGATTAATGCCCCAAGATCACAGTTATCAGCAATGGAATCTGGATTCGAATTTGGGCTTAATTCGAAAACTGTGCTTCCTCCAGAGCACACGGCCTCACCTCTCCTGAGAGCCTCCCCAGGCATGGTACTAGCTAACAGCAGGAACACAACATGATGGCCAAAGGCACAGGCCCTTGTCAGGGACACTGGGGGCGGAGGAGAGGCAGGGCCTCCTCCTCCAAGGAGCTGGGCAGAGAGCATATACAGCCTACCTCCCGCGCAGCTCAGACTCACCTGCAGCAGGTGATCTTGCTGCTGGCTTTGTGCTTGGAGACAGACTTCTGCTCAGGAGACCACAAGCCTTCAATGCAGAGGAAGAGGAAAGGTTGACAGGTTGAAAGATTACTCAGCAAGAAAAAGAAACACATTCAATACAGCTAGGTAGTTCTCTAGCTGAAAAAGCCAATCTCAAAAGGTCGTATGGTGTACGATTCCATTTTATAACATTCTTAAAATGATGACATGGAGGAGATGGAGGACGGAATGGTGGCTACCAGGTGCCAGGGGTGAGGAGTAATGTGAAGAGGGAGTGATGATCAAGAGTCGCCTGCGTGAGAGTGGTGTTTCACACTGTCAGCCTGGTGTCCAGGCTTTTCTCTGACGGTGGTAGAGTCAGAGAGCCAGCACAGGGTTCAGGTGCTTGCTGTGCATGTGTCAATCCCAGTTCAATCCCCAGAACCACGAGGATCCCCACACACCATTGGGATCAACCTCTGAGCACAGAGCCAGGAGTAGCCCCTGAGCACCGCTGGGTATGGCTCAACCCTCAGCTCGTTCTCTACCCGCCCCCAAAAAGAATTACGTAAATTGTACGCATGAGGGGAAATCAATGAAGGGTATGGAGACCTCTTAACTAGCTTGGCACCTTACTGTGACTTACTTCAAGAGAAAGATAAACTGGAGAATTCCTAGCCATCTTTTCAAGAGTTTCGTTCGTGAAATGGCAACTTCAGAATCCAGGGAGATGGGACCCTGAGGTCAATGCCCTCCCCACCACTTCACTGCCACTGGGAGTGGCCCCCAGAAATACAGAAGAAACAGTAACTTCCCTCTTCATGACTACTCTGCATCCCGACTGCAACTCAACACTCCAGGAATGAATGAGACTTTCTGAGTGTCCAACTTCCACTACCAGGCCTTGCCCACAGCAGGACCCTCGCCTAGCTGTGCCCAGTTCATGGCACACTGGTCGGTTTGCTTCCCTCTGCCTTCCTGTGTGTGGCTCAGTGCCCCAACCAAATGTTCATCGAGGCAGGTACCTTGCCTGAGCCATAAAGCATGGCTCTGTGCTCAGGGATCACTCCTACCGGCTCAGGGGACCATAATGGATGTCAGGGGATTGAACCTGGGTTGACCTCATGCAAGGCAAGTGCCCTGCTTGCTGTACTTAGCTCCGACCCTGGTTTCCCCTTCTCTCTGGTTGAAAAACTCTTCCCCCAAAATTTCAACTGGTGCACAGGATCTCTGAGCTCCACTGCGCCCCCTGGAGGCAAGCTGTGTTCTGGACTCTGGGAACCAAAGCAACACGGTGCCGGCTGGGTCCCAGCCTGGCCCTGGCCCACATTGTACCGGCTGAAGCGCCACTCTGTAATAAGTGAAGGGCCCTGGACCTCAGGCCTGACCAAAGGCAGTCACAGAGATCCTGCATTTTTGGTTCAAGCAGAGTGCCCTGCACATAATAAGCATTCAACATAAACCATTACTATTTGTTTTACAAATTCAACCTCCGCACCTTCCGCCAACTGCACACTCTCAAGGGCAGAGATCCTTGTTTATCTCTGTAATCCTATGCACACAGACCAGAGCCTCACGTGGAGAGAGAGCTGCTTTCCACGGAATGACAGGCCTTCCCCTTTTATTTATAGAAGGTGCTTTCAAATACATTCTCTCCTTTAAACCTCAGGCGGCTATCAGTGAGACAGCTAGGAGGGAACGTGTCATCTTTGATAAGGAAAGTGAACCCGAGCAGAGGAGGGCCCCGGCTCCTGCACGGAGGCAAGTCCCCTCCGCGGGAAGCCAGACTCGTCCTTGAACACCCAGCCATCTCCCCCACACCTCCCCCTGCCTCCATGGACTCTTCCCGACTCCTCCCCTGTGCCAGCACCGCAGGGCGCTCCGTGTGGGGCTGGAGAAGTCAAGGCAGCCAGCCTGGGGCTGGGGAGGAGGCTCAATGGGCTGGGCACAGGCTTTCCATGCAGGAGGCACAGATTCAATCCCCAGCACTGCATGGTCCTGACCCCCGAGCACTGAGCTGGGAGTATCCCCTCAGCACAACCCCTTCCTAGAAAATAAATCACACAACATCCTTAGCCACCAAACAATGTTGACACAGTACAGAAAGCACAGCCCCCACCACAGGTGGATGTTCAGGGACAGCCGGGGGGAGGGGCACCAAACAATTGCTGCCAGGGCAAGACAGGCCAGGCTTCCCAGGGGCAACCCTGGGCTAGGCCTGTGCCCGCCCCTCCTTGTTCCCACTGTCCCTAAGACTTTCTTGGCTCCCAAGTATCTTACCAAACTCTATGTCATCACTCATTCTCTTGGTTTCTACAGTATTTTTGTTTGTTTGTTTTTGGTTCATATCTAGCCGTGCTCAGGGCTCGCTCATTGCTCTTCACTCAAAACTCACTCATGGTGGTGCTTGGGGGGCCATATGGGGTGCCAGGGATCAAACCTGGATCAGCTATGTGCAAGATAAGTACCCTACCTGCTGTACCACCTTTTCAGTCCCCCAGAATTAGGTTTTTTTTTCCCCCACACCTGGTGATGTTCAGGGTCTATTCCAGGCTCTGCACACAGGAATTACTCCTGGCAGTGCTCGGAGACAATACGAGATACTGGGGATCAAATCTAGGTCAGCCACACGCAAGTGCCCTACCCGCTGTACCATCATTCCAGCTCTACCCAGTGTAAAAGGCTGTCAGCCTCCCAACAGCCACTCAAGGGAGAAAAGTGGCCTGGGCTGTCTCGTGACACAGCCACCAATCTGGGCACACGTCAGGACTGCAAGGCCACACCGGCAGCTGCTCCGGGAAAGACAGAGACCCAAACCTACCAAAGTCACTGGAGGAACAAGATGCCAGTTGGTGGGTAACGGGGTTGTAGGAGACACACTGGATAGAATCGTTGTGCCTGCAAAATAAACCATAGATTATGTAGTAAACAAAATGACAAAAATGATCGTCTGTACTTTCAATGCACGTACGCTAGCATCAGATGCATCCATCGAGGACCGGATGGTACAAGCGCGAATGATCAAGTACGACATCATTGGTCTGATCGAGACAAGAAGGCACGAATCTCACCATGCCGCTTTCGTCACTGGAGAAGAATTGTTCCTCGGAACATGCGATAAAAGAGGTGTTGGAGGCGTCGGTGTCCTTGTCAACACAAACTTGGCCAAGAGCATTGATTCATTCGAATGCCTAACAACCCGAATCAGACGTTTACATTTGAATAGATGTGGCTCACTGCCTGCAGTTTCTATCTTCGTTGTCTACGCACCAACATCTCATTATGATGAAAGAGAAATCGAGAAGTTCTACATGGAGCTAGAGAAGTTCTATAAAGAAGACCACACCTTCTACAAGATCATTGTGGGTGATTTTAATGCCAAGATAGGACCGAGAAGATCAGCTGAAGAACTTCACATCGGGACCCATGGCCTAGAATGGAACAAACAGGGTGAGAGACTGTCTGAGTTCATCATGTCGACCAAGACCATTTATGGTAACTCACAGTTCCAGAAGGCAGAATCTAAACGATGGACATAGGAGTCTCCCGGTGGACGATTCCACAACGAAATAGACCACATCATATTCAATCGACGGTTTTGCCTGACTGATGTCGCTGTTGTCCCAAAATTTCAAACGGGATCGGACCACCGTCTCCTTCCTGCAAAATTCTACTTCACAGAGCAGGGAGAAAGGGCTGCAAAGTTCAAAAAGAGAACTCCCAGAATGACCACCAACTGGGAACTCTTTGGTACTATTGTGGCAACATGGGAAGATGCCATTGTTGACAACATTGACGAGGAATACGATCAACTGGTTCAGAACCTCCATGAATGTGCGAGGAATGCCAAGAGAGAGATAGCCACAAAAAATCGCCTATCTTCGAAAACTCTTGAGGTAATTCGCCAGCGTGGTTTGGCGCATGCCTCAGGCAACCGCAAGCTAACGTCCGAGCTCGCAAAGCAGTGCAGAGATGCGATCAAGGAAGACCTCAAAGAGAGAAGAGCAGAAGTACTGGTAGATGCGGCAGAAACCGGGAAAAGTATTCGTAACGCCCGCCTGTCCTTCGCCAACTATAAGACCAAGATGACTGCCCTCCGACGTCCTGATGGATCCATCACATCCTCCAGAACGGCAATGGAGAAGATTATCCATGACTTCTACTCCAATCTCTTCGATAGCCATGTCCACTTGCCGACATACCAAATTCCACAGGATGGATATGTCGTTCCCAACGTTCTCCCTTCCGAAATCCGACATGCCATTTCGTCGGTAAAGAAACAAACAGCACCTGGCCCAGACAAGGTCAGACCTGAACACCTGAAGAACCTGCCGTCAGTACTGGCTCGGCTCTTCACTCGCTACCCGTCTGAATGCAAGGTTCCGTCCCAATGGAAAACCAGCAGGACCGTACTACTGTTCAAGAAGGGAGACATCCATGACATTGGAACTATCGCCCGATCTGCCTATTGTCTGTCATCTACAAGTTGTTCACTCGAGTCATCCTAAATAGGATTGGCAGAACACTAGATGAAGGACAACCATGCGAGCAAGCCGGGTTCCGCAAAGGATTCAGCACCATCGACCATATCCACACGATAACCAAGCTCATTGAGGTTTCTCGGGAGTTCAAGATGCCGCTCTGTTTAACATTCATTGATTTAAAGAAGGCCTTTGATTCTGTTGAGACCGATACGGTCATTGAAGCCCTAGCCAATAAGGGCATTCAAGCCCAATACGTCAGGATCCTCCATGAGCTGTATTGTGGATTCACTACCAGGATCTCACCATTCTACAAAGAAGTGATCGTTGATGTCAAGAGAGGGGTGTGGCAGGGTGATACCATTTCACCGAAACTCTTCAGTGCCACCCTCGAGAACATCATGCGACGACTGGAATGGGAAGGAATGGGAGTGAAGATAGATGGTCGGCAACTACACCACCTCCGCTTTGCTGATGACATTGTTTTAATAACACCAAACATCAGCCAAGCGGCACAAATGCTGGCCGACTTTGACCGTGAGTGTGGAAAGGTAGGACTACAGCTGAATCTTACGAAGACAATGTTTATGAGAAACAGCCTCATTCCTGACGCCCCATTCGCTCTCAATGGAACGACCATCTCCGAATGCAACAGCTATGTGTACCTAGGTCGAGAAGTCAACATGACAAATGACCTGGCACCCGAGCTGCGCAGGAGGAAGAGAGCGGCTTGGAACGCCTTCAAGAACGTCGAAGAAATAGCTAAGAGGACGAAGAACCTCCGGCTCCGGGCACATCTCTTTGATTCCACTGTTCTTCCTGCATTAACATATGCCTCAGAGACCTGGGCCCTACGCAAACAAGATGAGAACGCCATTCAGGTCTCCCAAAGAAGAATAGAAAGAGCTATGCTTGGAATATCACGTTTCACTCAAATGAGAGAAAGAATTTGGAGTTCTGACATCCGTCGACGATCAAGGATCAGGGACGCTGTCTCATTTGCCAAGATGTCGAAAATCAGATGGGCTGGTCACGTAATGAGATTTAAAGACGACCGTTGGACTAGAGCTGTTACTGATTGGATTCCACGGGATGTCAAAAGACCGCGTGGCCGCCCACCTACCAGATGGTCAGACTTCTTCGTCAAGATCATAAACGATCGGTTTGAGGCCCTTCATGTTCCTGGAGTGAACAGATGCCATTGGGCTACACTGGCACGCGACAGGGACAAATGGAGACGTTACTGGCGCCCGCTTGAGCAAATCGACGACTAACGGGAAGTTAAGTGATTAAGTGATGTAGTAAACCACAAAGTGTTCAGTGGTCACAACTACAGATGCTGATGATGAGCCTGAAGCCTCTCGGACTGTGCCCACAAGCTCTTCTGCAAAGTATAGAGACAAGCTCACACACACCCCACACCCCCACATCTACACATCCATCCAAGGGTCCCCACCCCATTCCTTTCATCTCTTCAACCTCATCACCCCACCCCACCCCCATCAGTCTGGTCTCACGACCACCTTCTCCTCCAGGACCGGCTGACCATTCCAGGAACTAAAGCACCAGGCACAGGAAGTGTCTCATGAGTGTCCATCACTACAGCTCGGCAGCATCTGGATGGAGGTGCAATGAAGATGCGGCAGGCCCGGCCCTGAGACCCAGGAAACCCTTAGATAACGGGACAGCTGAGTCATATCCCACACAGGAACTCAGTCTCCACTGGGCTCCTCACTGCTTCATAGCACTTTATTTACGTCTCATTCACTCCCTCAGGAGCAACTCATTAATGTGCACACCCACGCTCACATCAACTTAGGGCTGCTGTCACCGATGCCGTCTCAATGCACACGCGAATGCCATTCCTCTCACTGATAGAGGAGTCAGCAGCAGGGTACGGCCCTATACTGGTAAGGACCTGGGTTTACCCCTAGCACAGGGAACAAAAAAAAGGGAAGGGAATTCTGACACAGGCTACAATATGAGTGACCACTGAGGCCATTAAGGCTCTGTCACAATGGATAAATGCATGGTGCTACTCCTGAGAGGTAGAAAAGTCAAACAGAGAACAAACTGGTGTTTGCTGGGAGAGGCATGAAGCCTGGAAACAGCAAGAAGGGTCCTGCGGAAGGGGAAGGGGAAGAGGGATGGGAGGGCACAGGCAGAAGCAGGGGGCAGGGGTAGGGGCTTGGGGAGCTCTTTTTCAATGGAAATTTTTAATGGATATTCAGGCTGCAAGATGAAAACATTCTGGAGAGTAGTTAAATATCAAACCACCACTGTGAGTGATGCCATCCACGAGACTGACCAAAGGCTTTGCAGAAGCACCAACATCCCCGCCCCTGAGCTCCGCATGGGGATATGAGTGAGTATGAGGAAAAGGACTTGGCCAGAATGTGAGCAGAGCCCATGGTGTGAGAATGTAGGCGGGGGCATAGCACCCCCATGTTTCTGGCTGTGGCTCCTGGTCATCTATGAGGCCACTCCTACCCAGGGACACAGGAAGATGATAGGCGGGGGTGGAATCTACAGCATCAGTTTGACAAAGAGACCACCCAGCCCTGTGTTACCCAGACTAGTACTCAAGTAATGCTCACTCGCAAGTTATAACACAGCCTGTCCAAGCCTCACAGCCCAACTTCACTTTCAATGGAAGAAAAAGAAGAAAAGTACTTCCTTTTATCTTTCCTAAAGACCTTTCACTACTGCACTTTAATGAGTCTATCTAAAGCTACCATGCATCAAAGTGGTTCCTTGCTACGGTTACTTACGTGTACTTCAGAATGCCTTCCAATTTTGACGTCCAGATAATAACACTCTTGTCAGCTGATCCAGAAGCAAACCGCTTGCCTAAAGGTGTTTTTAAAAAAGAAAAATGCTCATGTTCATTTTAAGCGGCCCCTCAAACACACAAACACTGTCCTCCTGTTGTTCATCGATTTTGCTCAAGTGGGCCCAGTAACGTCTCCATTTTGAAACTTGTTGTTACTGTGTTTGGCATATTGAATATGTCACGGGTAGCTTGCCAGGCTTTGCGTGCAGGCGAGATACTCTTGGTAGCTTGCCAGGCTCTCTGAGAGGGGCAGAGGAATCGAACCTGGCTCAGCCGAGCTGGCTTCGCGCAAGGCAAACGCCCTATTATCAATCCAGCCCAAGCAGCCTCTCATGGAGAGTATAAACTGATTTTTGATGGTGCCTCACACACATCGGCTACTTCTCTGCATCCTCATAGTACTCGTGACACTGTGGAGTCTGGAAGCTGGGGTTCAAATCCTGCTGTCTGGCACTGCGGTACCACGAGGCTACTGAAGGCCCACCAGATGTAATACGTTCTGTGTCAAGGATTGAGGGTGATTGAAACACATCATCCCGACCTTTCTAGTTTAATTGGAGGGTGAGACCTATAGGATGAGCAAAGCTTGGCCAGGTACAAAGAGAGAGGACTTGTTCACATGGCTAGGATAGACATAGGCCCACATACAGGAAAAGTCTAGAATAACCGAGGGGCATGAACAACCAAAGGAAGGTGGGGCAGGGAGGGGAAGCAGGATCTCTAGGGGCTCCTGGGTCACAGCTGAAGCCTTGCCCTTTATTTTTTCCTTTCCTTTTTGGGCCATACCCAGTGGTGGGCTGGAGTGATAGCACAGCGGACAGCGGGTAGAGTGTTCGCCTTGCATGCAGCCAACATGGCTGACCCAAGTTCGATTCCTCCGCCCCTCTTGGAGAGCCTGGCAAGCTACCAAGAGTATCTCGCCCACACAGCAAAAGCCTGGCAAGCTACCCATGACATATTCAATATGCCAAAAACAGTAACAACAAGTCTCACAATTTGTTGTGAGATGTTACTGGCGCCCGCTCGAGCAAATCGATGAACAACGGGAAGACAGTGACAGTGACAGTGACCCAGTGGTACTCGGGGATTGCTCTTAACTCAATGCTCAGGGTAGCATAGGTGCTCAGGATCAAACTCAGGGCTCTTACATGCTCAGTCAAGCAGTCCAGCCCTCTGAATTCTCTCCATAGCCCCAAGGTTATGCAGTTTCTCCCAAAGCAAGGAAAAACTAAAGAAAGGCTTTAAGCAAGATCAGGGCTGGGGAGATGGCTCAAAGGGCTGAAGAGCAGGTTTTGAATGCTGGTGCCCAGCTGGATCCCCCCACTTCTATGAAGGAACAGAAGGGAGAGCAGAAACATGCTCCTCATGGACTAATTCCACTGTTTGGGTCTGGCAGGCTTGGAAGAGGCGCAGTCTCCCTGCAGCCAGGGGTAGGGCCTCCCCCGACCCTGCGCGGACAGAACACTAGGCACTTCCTAGACCTCACAAATCACAATCACAAATCATCCTGTTAATCGTCGATTGCCTCGAGCAGGCCCCAGTAATGTCTCCTTCATCCTAGCCCTGAGATTATATTCAAGGCTCTTTAGGAGAATGAGACCCATCATTGTTACTGGTATTTGGCATATTGGGTACGACACAGGGAGTTTGCCAGACTCTGCTGTGTGGGCAGGCTACATTCGGTAGCCTGCCAGTCCTAGACCTCACTGTGTATTTTTTTTCTTTTTGGGTCACACCCGGCAATGCTCAGGGGTTACTCCTGGCTCTATCTCAGGAGTTACTCCTAGCGGTGCTCGGGGGACCATATGGGATGCTGGGAATCGAACCCAGGTCAGCCACATGCAAGGCAAATGCCCTACCTGCTATGCTATTGCTCCAGCCCCTCACTATGTATTTTTAACTCTATGTAACTATAACTCTTCAAGCAAGTAGACTTACCCTTAGTGGGGCTCTGAGCCTCAGCACCTTAATCTAGAATACCTTCCTCAGAGGCTCTTTGTAGGGCCAACTCTCTCTCTCTTTCTCTCTCTGTCTCTCTGTCTCTCTCTCTCTCTCCCCCCTTCCTCCCTGCCACCCACTTCTCCTCTCTCTCTCTCTCTCTCTCTCTCTCTCTCTCTCTCTCTCCCTCTTTCTCTCCCCCTCCCCTCCCCTCCCCTCCCCTTTTGGGTCACACTCAGCAGTGCTCCGGGCTTACTCCTGGCTCTACACTCATAACTTACTCCTGGCTGTGCTCAAAGAACCATAAGGGATGCCGAGGATTGAACCTGGTTCTGCCTTGTGCAAGGCAAGCATCCGCCCCAATGTACTAACATTCCTGCCCCCTACGGGCCTCACTTTAAACACCTTCACTTTGCCCAAAAAGCAGCTATTATTAGGAAGAGTGGGATGACAGTGCTGCAAGGACAAATATATGAAAGATGCTTTATTATTTCAGTCTCTGGCACGCAGCAGGTGGCAAGTGTGTGGGTTCCGGGTGCAGAGTCTGGGCTGGAAGCCCCAGTGACGTCACTACCCGCTGTTGACTGGGAATCAGCGGCTGAACGTCTCTGGGCTGTCATTTCCTCACTTGAAAAGTGGGTGCGACAATAGTATGCACCTTCTAGTTGCTATAAAGATAAAATTAGATGGAAGTGCTCAGGATGGTGTCTAGAACAGAATCAAGGCTGAAACTACCTTCGCTATTATTTTTAAACTACTTCTTCATCGAACTCGGGTCGGCCATGTTGGCCGCTTGTAAGGCAAACGCCCTACCCGTTCCTCCGCCCCTCTCGGAGAGCCCGGCAAGCTACCGAGAGTATCCGATATGCCAGACACAGTAACAACAAAGTCTCCAATGGAGACGTTACTGGGCCCGCTCGAGCAAATCGACGATCAACGGGAGGGCCTTTACCTTTTACCTTACTTCCTCATATTGCCTAGTATTCTTTTTCTTGAACAAAAAACCCAGTATTTCTATACCTTTGTCTCATGGATGCTATGAAATGTTAATATTTTGTAATGCTTTACTTCACTACTAAAGGGGTTGGGAAATGAAGCTATCCTGCAGACCCTCCATGTGCAAGCTGAGCAGAGAGGCCTGCAGGGGGGAACTAGAGACTGCCTAATCCTGGAGAGCATCTGAGCTCCGCTCACCATTCCCTCCACTCCCCGGAGAGCAGAGCCTCATCCTGCGGCCTGGATGACCTGTTTCCTCTCATCTCCCTGCCCAACCTTTGCCCCTTACAAGTTCTTTCCAATAGAGCAGCCAGAGGGATCCTCTTAAATATAAATCCAGGAGTTAGAGCCATAGTATAGCGAGAGTACGGGGTCTGCCTTGCATGTGGTCAAGTTCAATTCCCAGCACCCCAACTGGTCCCCCGAAATCTGCCAGAAGTAATTCCTGATCATAGCTGGGAGTAAGTCCTGAGCACTGCTGGGTGTGGCCCCAAAACTGAAAAACAAAACATAAACGCAGGCCAGAAAGCTCAAAGGGCTGCAGCATACCTGGCGAGTAGAGGTCCCAGGTTCAGTACACTCTATGCTGATACCACAGTCCCGAAAACTGTAGGGCACGGTGCTGGTGGTATTGCCAGGGGTGGCCCCCAGAACCCAAATCCTACTTGTGATTAAATAGATAGATTCCCTGACCTTCGCCTGCTATGAAGGTCACAAGGAGGCTCAAGTGGTGCCTCTAATTGGATAACCAACTACACCAGAAGCTCATCCCACTGTCCCGTTTTAATGGCCCGCATTCTTGGAGCATAATAAAGAAGTGCTCATCCACCCACTTTGTTGAAAAGGTATAAAAGGGAAAGGGTATCAGTCTTTCTTCGGAATCCTCCTGTTTTAGGAGACCCTTCCCGTAATCTGAGATCTTGCCTTCCTTTCCATTTCCCTAAATAAAGTCTTTTACTGAATTCTGGGGGGAAAAAAAAAGATAGATCTCTCCTCTGCTCAGAACAATTCAGAAGTTCTCTATTTCTCAAACCTGGACTCAAACACAGTCTCTGATTCCTTGTTCCCCCAGATTCTCTCTGCACCCCAGGGGCCCTGCGATCCACTTCTCCCTCAGAGAAGCGCTCACTGCCTTCAAGTCTCTGCTCGCCTTTCCCTGTTCCAGTAGCCCACCCTCACTACCCTCGCCAAAATTCCACCCTCCTGGCCCCTACCCCCACGCCCCATGCTCTCAACCCCCTCTGTCTGCCCTGTTTCCTTTTTCCTTTATACTTACCACTCCCAACATACTGTTTAATCACTATGCTTATATCTTTGCACACACTCCTTCCTCCCCACCCTCGACACTGACATAAGCCTCTTAAGGGAGGGCTCTTTGTTGGTTCTCTGCCACAGAGCCTGGCACAAAGCTAACCCTCAGTACACACTTGCTGGATTCAAGTCAAGTCTAAGAGACTTCGCTATCTTCAGAAGCAACCAGTTGTACTTTGGCTTACTAAGAGTACAGAGTGTCTGGGAGAAAAACGAGCAGCAATGAGCCCTTTACAGACTGTAATGCCACAGCAGCCTCTTACCGTCCTTTGCATATGCCACACAGTACACTGTATCTTTGTGTCCTTTTAAGGGCTGAAGTAAGGTGCCATCAGAGGTGTCATAAACCTGCAAAAAAAAGAGCCAAAATTCAGATTAGCAACCTGAGGGCCAGAGTCCCTACACCCTGCTGCTATTTTTGTCTTTGTAACAGAACCATTTGTCACTTTCCTAAAATTAGATCAAATCAATAAAGCACTGAAAAATCAGAAAGACTCTGACTTGAAGTTTGGAAATGAAAGAAGCAAAAGTTCCTGCTATATGCATTATATGTCTGGGAAACCTTCCCCCGAACAGAGAGCCAGGAGTGATCCCTGAGCATTACCTGCTGTGGCCCCCAAACAAAACAAAACAAAACAAAGCAAAACAATCTTCTGAGATTCTGAATAGAAGACCTCTATTCAGGCTAGGTCCTCCCAAGGAAAGGAGAATGTGGAAGAGCCAGCAGGGAGTGAAATGTTAGTGCTGCCTAATCCATCCCTACCAGCAACAGCACAGACAGAAAGGAGTCATACAGCTACCGGCAGTTTGGAAGACACAGGCCTCAACTGGGTTTGCAAACTGGATTACAAAACACGGCTGTAATGTAAGTTTGTAAAACCTCCAACACTGTGTGGAGATTCGAAATATGTACTATTTGAGAAAGGCAAAAACCTCTAAAAAAGCATGTTAGAGAAGGTAACCTATGCAAAACAAAGCAATAAAAAAATGTAAATAATTTGGAAAGTTCATTTCTCTTCTGGAGAAGTCTGTGGAATAATTTACCTACGGTTTTAGGACTACTAGTAAGTATGTGGAGAATGGAGCTAGGTCGTGTGCACATCTAGAGAAACTGAGAAAGATAAAGTAGACACACACGGGAGGGAGAGATTAAACAAAGGTTTTTAGGTCAAGCATAAAAAAAGTCTATAAAAATTACTTTTCTTCACCAAGATAGATTCCAGAGGGAACTCATCTTCTTTCATAATATGACAAAGAGGACAGTATTCATATGAAATTGTTTAGTAGGTCAGTGCCTAAAAGTTGGGGTCAGGCTATCTGCTTCTCCCAAGGGAGCGCCTTCAGTTCTTATGCTTGAATTTTTCAAAGGGACAGAATGTGAGCTGACACCACCTCAATTTCAAAGACATTTTGAAGAATTGTTTTCAATTCTTTCATGAGTGTCTCAAAGGGAAAGAGGAAAGAGGAATGACTCCAAAGGCGGGATTATTCACAAGTGCCTATCTGATAGACAGTTTACTTACCTGTTTTAAATAGCCCATTTCCTTCCCTATTAAAAAGTAATGATTGTTTTTTTTCCGCCCTGGCCTTTTTTTATCTAAAAAAATAGGGGGTCAAATTTCAGAGTACTTAGAGGAGGGAAAAAGGAAAAAAAAAAACACTTAAAAAGGAAACTCAGACAAAATCCTACCAGTAATCTGTTTCCTGCAGCCAAAATCAGTTGGGTTCCATCGGGCTTAAACGCAAGGTCATAGATACTAAACAGGAGACAAGACAAAAACACAATTAGAAATCAAAATGTGAGGTCCGCTAATGACCAGGAAAGACACTTCATTTTCATTATGAAACACTGCTTGTGTATGAGGGAGAGAAAAATGACTATGAACTGCATTTGGGTGCCAATTCCATTCAACTACCATGTGCCCACTTGACAGGCTACTCAATCCAGTCTACTTGCAGTTAGCTGTGTCCAGAATTTCATGTGTTCAGAAACTAGCCGGCAAGCTACCGAGAGTATCTCACCCGCACGGCAAAGCCTGGCAAGCTACCTGTGACATATTCAATATGCCACACACAGTAACAAGTCTCATGATGGAGATGTTACTGGGCCCACTCGAGCAAATTGATGAACAACGGGAGAACAGTGCTACAGTGCAGAATCTAGAAGCCAGAAATTATTTAGAGGGCTCACAGTTGAGGGTACTAAATCTCCTAATAGTTTCCTAAAAGCTAGACAACCTGAGGGAATATGTAAGGGCTAGTAAATCCGGTCTTTAGTAAAACCAGCCATTCAGTATTATTGCTATTTCCAATACTCAGTTTTACTGAGGCCCTCTTAGGTGCTATACTGACAGAGACAAGGGGAGACTAAGTCTCCATCCCTTCCTGCTCAGGCAGCGGTCTGATTCATACATCCACAAGAGCCACCCAGAGTCCTGCATCTAAAACAATGTTTGTCACATTTTCACATCTCTGAGGTTGAGGGGAACCTTATAATTGAAGCCATTTATTTAACTGTTGGCAGTTTTGTTTTATGCTTTCTCGGTAGTGTGTAAAATGACAGTATCTTATAACCAGTGACCTCTTAGATTATTAGAAAAACAGAATACCAGGCTTTTGGAAATACATTAAAACACTTCAGGGATTCAAGGAGGAAGCTACAATATTCACATCCGAGGGAAGATCAGAGAGGCTCTGGGGGGAGGCTCAGTGACTGAGGGGCCCTGCGGTGCTAGCACAAAGCTGCAAATTCACCAGCCAGAGCTCTACATGCACTGAGCACAGCCCAGGCAGTTCTGACGTCTGTGAATCCCAGGGTCGCTGGCAATTGTGGCTATAATACAGTAGGTATGTGTGGGCACAACTAAAGGGGTGTGGCTCCTGCAAGCAGCAACTGAAATCTATGTAGACACCAAGACCCCTATGTCTATGCATGACCCCTGGTCATCACAAAACAATGATGGAGGGAGGGAAAGTGCTTCATGAAGAAAACTCTGGATGAGGGCTGGAGAGATAATTCAGTGGGCACAGCACCTGCCTACCATATGAACGACTCGAGTTCAACCCCCAGCATCCCATGTGGTCCCCAGAGCCCTTCCCCTCCCCCCCCCACACACACAGGGGTAATTCCTGAACTTGGAGCCAGGATTATTTGCTGGGTGCGGCTTCAAACCCAAAACCAAACCAATCAAAAGCAAAAACAAAAACACCAAAGCCCCAAAACTCAGGATAAAAAAGGCAGGGTCTAGGGCTAGAGTGATAGTACAGCAGGTAGGGTACCTGCCTTGCATATGGCAAACGCAGGTTCTATCCCTGGCACCTCTCATATAGTCCCCCAACACCACCAGGAGTGATCCCCAGATATAAGTCCTGAGCACAGCTGGGTGGGGCTGTGATCAAAAGCCTCTCTGATCAAAAACAAACAAAAGAAACAAGAAAAAGAGGGGAAGGGAAGGAGAGGAGAGGAGAGGGGAGGACAAGAGAGGGGAAGGGAGGGAAGAGGAGGGGAGGGGAGGGGAGGGGAGGGGACAGGAGAACAGAGGAAAAAGGCAGGGCCTTTGAGACAAGGGGGGGGGAGGGTTGGGAGTAGTTACTGTACTTCAGGCAGAGAATAGAGTGCAAGCTAGGACAGTGGGGAATAGAAATAATCAAATTTAAGCCAAACATTTGATTGTGTGCAAGGCAGCAGGGGGAGATAGATAAGAATGGAAAAGCAGGCCAGAGCCAGCCCTATGACAAAGGTTCTTGAATGCCCCAGGCAGAGCTGCTCATTAGTTTGGGAATCTAATAAGAATGAACGTGTCAGACTGTACTGCCCAGACAGCTTACAGCAGATTTGAACATGGCATCGATGCACCCAGTCCCTGCCAGTGATCCAGACAGACAACCTGGAGCATTCACACACGCAGCACTTCCAAAGCATCATTCGAACTCCCCCTCGCCACAGCACTGGAGGGTGGAACTGATTAAGTAATTGAGGACACCATGGTCAAGGTGAAGTACCTTACCAAACAAGGACGATGGCTGGTAACTCTGCCTTTCCTCTGCTCCCTTTAATCACAGATACCAACACTGAGAGCACTTATCCACTGTGGGTGAGGAGCACAGTAATTGTTTATATATATTAACTCACTTAATCGTCACAACTGCCATAGGTCCGCTTTACAGAAAACTACAGCACAGAGAAAGCATACAACGCGCCCCCAACAAACTGTCACTGAGAAGTACCAGAACTCAAACCCAGACAGTCTGGCTCTGAAACCCACTTTTTTTTTCCTAATTTTTTAATTGAATCACAGTGAGATACAGTTACAAAGTTGTTCATGATTTAGTTTCAGTCATATAACGTCCCCACATCTTCCCTTAACCAGTGTACATTTCACAAACACCAATGTCCTCAGTTTCCCTCCCTCCCTCACCCCTACCAACTTCTATGGCAGGTACTTCTCTCTCTCTCTCTCTCTCCTGTCTCTCTTTCTCCTTTTGGTCTCTCTCTCTCTCTCTCTCTCTCTCTCTCTCTCTCTGTCTCTCCTGTCTCTCTTTCTCCTTTTGGTCTCTCTCTCTCTCTCTCTCTCTCTCTCTCTCTCCTTTTGGTCTCTCTCTCTCTCTCTCCCTCTCCCTCTCTCTCCTTTTGGTCTGAAGCCCACTCTTACAACTATGCTTAGGGGCCTTCTTTATCATTATCATTACTTTCATCTGTCAGGGTGAACAAAATAACAAAGGATCGGTCTTTTTTATGCCTTGAAGACAATAACAAATGGTATTCTCACTCAAGGCATTTGTTACAGGAGATTTCAGAGTACTTTTACATAGGTTCTGCTGACCTAAAAAGCTTTCTTTACTAAAACTCTCCACTTAGAGCCTACACTTGCCTTGAAGAGCACAAAACCTGAATGATCTCATTTAATTTTTTTGACTCTGTTTTTTAAAATACAAAGGGTGGGGCTGGAGCGATAGCACAGAGGGTAGGACGTTTGCCTTGCACGCGGCTGACCCAGGTTCGATTCCCAGCATCCCATATGGTCCCCTGAGCATCATGAGGGGTAATTCCTGAGCGCAGAGCCAAGAGGAACCCCTGTGCATTGCCAGGTGTGACCCAAAAAGCAAAAAAAAAAAAAAAAAACCCCAAAATACAAAGGGTTATAGGGCTGGAGCGATAGCACAGCGGGCAGGGCATTTGCCTTGCACGTGGCAATCCGGGCATTTGCCGAACCGGGTTGATTTCCAGCATCCCACATGGTCCCCTGAGCACTGCCAGGAGTTAATTCCTGAGTGCATGAGCCAGGAGTAATTCCTGTGCAACGCTGGGTGTGACCCAAAAATAAAAAAAAAAAGAAAAAAGAAATAAAATAAGGGTTGGAGTGATAGCACAGCAGTAGGGCGTTTGCCTTGCATGCAGTCAGCCCGGCCGAGCCGGGTTCGATTCCTCCACCTCTCTCAGAGAGCCTGGCAAGCTACCGAGAGTATTCAATATGCCAAACACTGTAACAAGGTCTCACAATGGAGATGTTACTGGGCCTGCTCGAGCAAATCGATGAACAACGGGAGCACCCATTAAATAAAATAAAATACAAAGAGTTATTGGAAAGTAGAAAGGAAAGGAAAAGAAACTCGCCAGACAGGGAGGAACTTAGTATAGGACTAGTTCCTTTTAAAACTTTTCAGTTCTCAGGTTTTTTTTTATATGTGTGTGTGTGTATATATATATATATATATATATATATATATATATATAGCTGTTCACAATAGTTCATTACAGTTAATACTCAAACACCAATCCCTCTCATTTTGTCCCTCCCTCTTGTGTGAGGACCACAGGACACATGCATATGCACGCTTGTGTTCATACATCTGGCTGCAGGCCTTTCACACACTCAGTTGTGGTACCAAAGGGCGGTGCTGGAACACCACTCAGCACCCCCAGGGTGGTGCCAGAGGGGCAAGCCCCCTCTGTCCAGTCTCACTTCTCACCCAGCCACTAACAGAAAGGAAACTCTGGCCCAAGAGGCAGTGAATGCAAGGCTGAGTTTCCAACTTCCTCAGGCTGGGGTAAGGCCTTTGTGCTGCTCGGGTTTTCTTCCTCTGAACTGGGACCCAAACTCGTGCATCGCACGCTGAGTGGTGGCAAAGCATACTAAGAAGCAGAGGGCCGCTGGGGCCAGAAAAGCTGACCTGTCTGAGCTCTCACCCTCACCAGCAGGACAAGGACAGAGCCACTGTCCCCTCCCAACGTGCACAGCCAGTGGCAGGGCTGCACCTCTCCTGAGAGGTCCCTGCTACATGGTGCTGGCATCTCAGAGCTCATCAGAGCAATTCCCGTGGGGTCTCTCATCCATAAGGATCATTTGGGGTTGAATAATCAAATCAAATCAAAAGTCATTTCTTTTTTTGTTTGTTTTAGGCCTTTGGGCCACACCCAGAGATGCTCAGGGACTACTCATGGCACTGTGCTTGACAAGGCTCACTCTGGGCAAGGTTTGGGGACTCTTATGAAGTGCCAGGGGTTGTGTCTGTAATAACCTCCAAGACCCCGAAAATCATTTATAAGTCATTTGAGCCAAGTCTTATGCAAGCTTCCTCTCAGATGTGACCACATTTCCTCTCAATTTCTTAAAATGTGCTTCCCGAAAGCATTAACACACAAGTCTGATTTGACCTGATCTAAACTCTTAAAGTGCATACAATCTGTACACTCTAGCTTTAAACAATATTATCATCCATAGTTTACATTATTTTAAATACACTTTATTTTTACCTT